CTTGGGTGTTGGTTCTGAGTGTTGATTCTTGGGTGTTGGTTCTGAGTGTTGATTCTTGGGTGTTGGTTCTGAGTGTTGATTCTTGGGTGTTGGTTCTGAGTGTTGATTCTTGGGTGTTGGTTCTGAGTGTTGATTCTTGGGTGTTGGTTCTGAGTGTTGATTCTTCAGTGATTCTTGAGTGTTGATGACTCCAGTGCTAATCACTCAGTGCTAATCACTCAGTGCTAATCACTCAGTGCTAATCACTCAGTGCTTATCACTCAGTGCTTATCACTCCACTGCTAATTTCTCCACTGTTGATGTCTCCACTGTTTATCTCTCCACTGTTGGTTTCTTCCATGCTGTGCCTTTGCTACAAGCTTGGAACAGCTTTCTCGTATGATCTGCCCTGGTGCCAAACTCTCCTCATTTTCGAAATTGCTTTGCTTCTTTCGATGTCGAAGTTCATGTGCCCCGGAAATTGGCTGGTGGCCCTTGAGCATGCCGAAAACAGTCCAGGGTATGCTCTCCACCGCAACTTGCCTCACCAGACTCGATGTGGCGACACTTCCATGACAGGCCACCACACCACGCCTCCCAATTGTCATGTCCCTTAGCCTTCAAGACCGTTGCAGCAAAAGCCAGCACCGGGCCTTCCGTCAGAAAACGATGGAACTACGAAAAGTAAGAGACCCAAGGGTTTGGAGCTCGGCCTTCACTCTGGAGGCCTTGGGGCCAAAATATCCTAGGTCCTCCCATCATAAGCGATCGCCGAAACTAAGAAACTTACATTGAGGGTTTGGAGCTCGGTTCTTTCATGGAAGTCTTAGCACCATAGAATCCTTGGTGGGCCCGACGGGCCCTTACTACAGAGTGACCGGCACACGCCATGACAAACGGCACGACTTGTCAATTCCGCAGGGAACCGAGATTCGTGCTGCCATGCCTGAAGCGACGTGGGCCCGAAACACTTCCGGATCCAAACAGTTGGTAATTCGACAGATCACTCAGCGAATGAGCCGAAGAACACGAAGCCCGGACCAGGTTCATGGCGCTTCTTGCAACAGGCGCGTGCTTGGGCCCGGGAAGAACATGGGCCATACCGAGAAACAAGTAGCCGTCCCGAATGTCAAGCGCTATGACGTGCCTGGAAAGACCTGCCGAGCTTGCCGGCTGTGGGGCGACTCGGGCCGCACTTCTTCCCGGGCCACCATTATCAGACCAAGCGGGTTCTCTATGCAAGGGCTCTACATACTCTACACAATCAGTCGGGTCTTCCAAATGGTCTTTTCTCTTTCAGACCACATGAGAGGCCGGCACCCAAGAACAGGGCCCAAGAGCCCACGCAGCCAACAAAAAGAATCGGGGGCTCTCCACCATAGGCAGTGGTCTGTTAGTCTCTTTTCCATCCAGATTCTACTCCGTCAGTTACGAGATTCCTCTCGTCAGTTGCAAGTCTCTTCTCCGTCAAATACAAGATTCTTCTCCGTCAAATACAAGATTCTTCTCGTCAGTTGCAAGATTCTACTCGTCAGTTACAAGATTCTTCTCCGTCAATTACAAGATTCTCCTCGTCAGTTACAAGATTCTTCTCGTCAGTTACAAGATATTTCTCGTCAGTTACAAGATTCTTCTCGTCAGTTACAAGATATTTCTCGTCAGTTACAAGATTCTCCTCGTCAGTTACGAGATTCTTCTCCGTCAAATACAAGATTCTTCTCGTCAGTTGCAAGATTCTACTCGTCAGTTACAAGATTCTACTCCGTCAGTTACAAGATTCTTCTCGTCAGTTACAAGATTCTTCTCGTCAATTACAAGATTCTTCTCCGTCAATTACAAGATTCTTCTCCGTCAATTACAAGATTCTTCTCGTCAGTTACAAGATTCTTCTCGTCAATTACAAGATTCTTCTCGTCAATTACAAGATTCTCCTCGTCAGTTGCAAGCTCAGCCCCACGCTTCCCCGGAGATCAAAGTACATAGCCACGCAATCTACACCAGCGAAGCCCTGAAGCCTCGACTTGTCCGGTCCGTATCTGACCCCCGGCGAGTCCATGAAGCCACCGGGCGCCTTTGAAAACCGTTTCGCTGTTCGGCCACGCAAAGCCGCCCAAAGCCATCCGACTTTGCAGCGCCCGGGCCGACTACGAGAGCGGGGCTCGCCCCAACGCTGTAACATTCACGAGTATGGAAGTCTCCAGGCCCCGCGGCGGGCTCTAGTCGTCTCGCCACTCGACATGGACCTCGTCCGTGCGGAACCGCTGCGTGCACACGGTGTCCGCCAACTGGGTCGTCTGGCCCATGCGGTACGCTAGCAAGCCCGCATGGGCGATCATGATGCCGTTGTCTATGCAGAACCTCTCGTCCGTGGCAAACACCGACCCGTTCTGGCGGTCGCGGACCATGAGCGCCATCATCTGCTGGAGCCGCTCGTTGGCGCCCACGCCGCCCACAATGAGCACCTGGTTGCTCTGCACGTGCGCCATGGCCCGCTCGGTGATTTCCACGAGCATGGAGAAGAGCGTCTCCTGGAGCGAGAAGCACAAGTCCTCGGGCGTGACCGGGCCAAGCGGCGTCCGCGCGCCGCCGAACATGTCCCTGGCCACGCCGTCGACGTGCGCGAGAATGCCGGACATGGAGAGGTCCATGCCCTTGACCGTGTACGGCAAAGGCACGAGGCGCCGGCCCCTCTTGGCCATCTGCTCGATGTTGTAGCCCGGCGCAGGCTCGTTGGGGATCCGGAGCGTGCGCGCAAAGCGGTCCAAGCAGTTGCCGATGGCAATGTCGAGCGTCTCGCCGAAGATCCGGTACCGCTGCTTCGAGTACGCGATCACCTGCGTGTTGCCGCCGCTGACGTAGAGCACCACGGGGTTCTGTGCGCGCGTGATCTCGCGGCCCATCTCGATATGGCCCACGCAGTGGTTGACGCCCACGAGCGGGAGGCCCCAGAGAAGCGCGAGCGCCCGTGCCGCAATGGCCACGCTCTGGAGCGGGGCGCCCATCCCGGGGCCCTGTGTGAAACAGATGCAGTCGAGCTCGGCGCCACAGACGCCCGCCTCGGCCATGGCCTTTTTGACCGTGCGCACCGCCCAGTTGCGGTGATGCCGGGCCGTGTCGCGGGGCAAAAAACCCTCTCCTGGCGGCGTGACATAGGTGTCTCGGATGTTCGAGAGCACCTGAGCCCGGCTGGCGCCGGCGAGCGGGCCCACGGGGTGCTTGACGACGCCGGCGCCCAACTTGTTGGCCAGGCCCTCGAGGCCCAAGGCGAGGTAGTAGTTTCTGCCTGGCCGGGCGTATTTGTCGAGATCCACAGTCATGGTGAGGAGGGGCTGGGGCTGGGGCCGGGGCTTTTCGCTGGGGCGAAGACCAGTGCGGCGCGCGAAAAAAAGGCCCTGTCGAAGGCCCTGTCCAGGGCCGCGGCGCCGCGCCGTTTTGGCTGCGGGCCTGGGGCGCCGGGCCCGGTGCGGTGGGTAGGGTGCCTGGTGGGTGCGCCCTGGAGCTGCCTGGGGGAAGTTTGCGTAGGCTGGTGGGCTTTTGTTTGGGGTGATTTATGGGTTTGTTTGGGGTGATTTATGGGTTTGTTTGGGGTGATGTATGGGTTTGTTTGGGGTGATTTATGGGTTTGTTTGGGGTGATTTATGGAATTGTTTGGGGTGATTTATGGTCATGTGTTTGAATTTATTTGGGGCGATACTTGGATTTATTTAGGGTATTTAGCTGAGATGATACGTGTGTTTACTGGGTCGATTTATGGTCATCTGTTTGGATTTATTTGAATTGATACATGGATTTATTTGGGCTGATTTGTTTAATCTGGGCTGATACGTATATTCATTTGGGGTATTTAGCTGAGATGATACGTGTATTTATTTGAGCTGATTTGTGTATTTAGCTGGGATGATACGTGTGTCTATTTGAGGTGATTTATGGTCATGTGTTTGAATTTATTTGGGGTGATACATGGAATTATTTGGGTTGGTTCATGGACATGTTTGGGGTGATTTATGGATTTGTTTGGGCTGGTTTATAAATTTACTTGGGTTGATACATGGATTTATTTGGGTGGATACTGTATTTATTTGTGCTTGTTTATGTATCTAGCTGGGCTGATTCGTGTCTTATTGGGCTGAACTACGGTCATCTGTTTGGATTCATTTGGATTGATACATGTATTTTTGGGGTGATTTATGTATTCAGCTGGGATAATTCATGTGTTTAGTTGGGATAATATGGATGTTTATTGCGTTGATCTATGGTCATCTGATGGATTGATTTGAATTGATTTGGGTTGGTTTATGTATTTAGCTGGGATGATACGTGTGTTTATTTGACTGATTTATGTGTTAAGCTGGGATGTTACGGTGTTTATTGGGTTGATTTGTGTATTTATTTGGGATGATACGTGTGTTTATTCATGGACTCACATTTGGCTTGGTTTATGTATTTATTTGGGCTGATTTGTGTATTTACTTGGGTCGATACGTGTATTGTTTTTGGCTAATTACGGACTCATATTTAAATTAATTTATGTCTTTATCTGGATTGATACACGTGTTTTTTGAGTAAATTATGGACTTTAACTTGGCTGATTTATGAATTTATTTTTGATACATGTGTTTATTTGGCTTGAAGCGTGTATTTATTATGTATTTATTTGCTTTAATTATGGACTTTTATTCGGATTGATTTATATATTTTTGGGCTGATACATTTTGGGCTGACTTCTAATGGTCATTTGTTCGGATTGATTGGGGCTGATTTATGTATTTATTTTGGGCTGAGACATGCGTGTATTTGGGAATCATATCGCAAACCATGCTGAAGGAGGTCACCACACGCACAGTAGCTTGGCTCAAACAGGCGAGAATTGTACTGTTCTGTTGCCTATATCTGCAATTGTAGACAGTTCCCATAGCCTTCCTCAAAACCGATGGGCTCACAGAACATTTGTGACTTTCCGATCCATTCATTAGACCCAGTAGTCAATTGACCGACAGCTCACCCGATCTCACTTTACTAGAATCGCTCATAACGTACCTAAATTGTCACGTAAGGCAATCAACCACGTCATTAAAAAAAAAGGCTTCAAAGAATAGGCTGATATAATTCCGCATTGACGATTCAATAATTTCAGTGTGGGAGAAGAGGGCTGCCATGGCCCAAGTCTATTCCAGATGCCTCGATACGCGGGGCCTGCAGGGCCAGCCACCATATCACAACTTGTACCACTCGAGTGACCAAGCAAGCCACCTGTTATATATTCCGGCATAAAACCTGAATTACACGTTCTGTACTGAGAATTATGGTATGTACTGAACAAATTCTTTGCTTCGGCTTGTATTACAAGCTCTTCTATTTGGCAGAATTATTTATTTGGGTTGATACATGTTTTTATTTGGGTTGATACAGTTATTCATCAGGGCCGATCTACAGACTCATATTTGGATTGATTTATGGACTTTTGTTGCATCAATTTATGGATTTCTTTAGGTTAATACATGCACTTATTTGGATTGATTTCTGGACTTATTTGGTGTGATACATGTATTTATTTGGGGTGATATATGCATTTACTTGGATTGATTTATGACTCGTATTTGGCTTGATCCTTGGGTTCGTACTTGAACTAAGTTGTGAATTTGTCTGGGTTAACCATGGACTTTATTCGGATTGATTTATGGATTTTTTGAGTATTCGGGCTGACTTATGGACTCATATTCGGATTGCTTATGGATCGATTTGAGATGATACAAGGACGTTTGTTTGGATTGAGATGTATTTTTTGGGCTGATCCATGTGTTTATTTGGATGATCTGCGTGTTTATTTGGGTGTTCTATGAATTCACTTGGGCTGGTTTATTTTCATTGGCCAGATTTATGGATTCTTTTGCTTGATGATCTGGCCTGTTTCTGCTGTCCGAAGATCCACAGGGCGTACAATGTATTGGACAATTAATCATATTCGAGGCCTCGTCCAAAGCGCGGCCCATACGTTCGGGGCAAGGTTGCACGCTTAGAAGATCTTTTTAAATACAAGCACCAATGTTTCAAAAATCCCCAACTTTCACGACGCGCCCCGTCAGCTGGTCATGCTAATTGCCTCTCGAGAAGTACGCCTGAAATTTTAGGGCAGGTGTTATATCATTCTGCAGTGGCCTATATTTCGCAGCCGGCTACTCAGAAGTTTCAGTACTCAGCAGTGATGATAGAATTTGCACGAGGTTTATTACCCAGCAATAAGATTTACTCAGTTTTCTGATGTGGCGTTCTTACCCAGAAGTATTTCAGGACTCGATGTATTTTTAAAATTCCACGGTAGTTCATGCTTAGCCTATAGCTCCGCAGCAACTCGTTGCTCAACCGCGGCTCCAGCAGGATATATACCTCAGCAGTAGTTTATAACACAACAGTAGTTTATAACACAACAGTAGTTCATAACACAACAGTAGTTTCAATACAAAAGTGGTTTATATTACAACAGTAGTGTAAAACACAACAGTAGCTTCTAAAACAGTAGTTTATAGTACAAGCACTTTGTAACACCACAGTACTTTCAATACAACAATACCTATAATCACACTCTATAATAACAGTACTTCACAACTCAACAGTACTTTATAGTTCAACAGCACTTCATAATTCACCAATACATTCATCTCTCTAGAGTCTATCCCAGCACTAGGCATATCACTCAACACTGGTTCTACTACCGTTTTGTTACCCAAAACTTGACTAGTCACTCAGCAGATTGTTTATTAGCATATATATCCAAGAGTTCGGCCCACTAACATTGGCATGGGTCACACAGACATGGCGAGCATTTGCATGAATTGCATTGGCCCGAACATTGGCCCGAGGCGCACTTGCATCTTGAGTTCGGGGAGGGCTGGCACGCAGATTGGGAAGAAACAGGGCAAGGGCACATTTTGCTTTGTTTTCGGGGGAAGTCGAAGAAAAAGTGTTTTCTGGAAAGATGTGAGAAAATGTGTCGTGTGTTTTTGCAGAAAGGGAAGGAGTATAATTCCAGGCCCCAAAGATCTGCCGGCGGCCAGCTTATATATTGGCCGTTGCGAGATTTTCGCCGTGGCGCCAAATTATGCGTTTATTGTGCGGTGCGAGCTTTTGGCCACGCAGGCAGCAGTGCTATTAACGGACCACGTCTGGGGTCCTTCCCCGGTAAAATCGAAAAGGCGCCCGGAAGAGAAGGTCCAGGGATTTTGGCCCCGTCTACGTCAAAGAGTTAAAAAGAGAAACGAAAAGAAGTTTGCATATTTCCAGAAAATGTCTTTGCTGCCATGCCAGGTGGCAGACCAGGACCCGAAGACAGGCCTTGGTGTACAGGCACAGTCGGGAAACGGCCTTCTCGTTTTCAGATTGACGGGAATCGCCTCTTTTTTTGAAAGTTCCTCTTGACCCATAGAAGCCAAAAGACAATAGGTTCTGCACATGCATGTCAAGACAGGGCCACCAGGTGCGTGGACAGGTGCTTGGATATGGATATCCTTCCTATGCGTGCCTTGTCCAATCCATTCCATGTCCTTCCAAACGTCCCAAATCCAAACGTCCCATATCCAAACGTCCCATATCCAAACATCCCAGATCCAAACATCCCAGATCCAGACATCCTAGATCCAAACATAAAAAACCAGACGGCCACTCCAAACAGCCTGCCCAGTTCAATTCGTGCGGCTCGGTTATTAGCCCTGAACCCAGATCTCGCCGCGCACTGCCACCCAATCTAACTTAGTATGGCTTAGCTTAGCTGATTTTATCCAACTAGACTTACTATTCACCCCCGAATATATAATCAAACAATACCAAAGGTAAACAAACCTTTCTAACAATCACCAAAGTAACATAACAACCTTAAAAGGAATACTACAAAAATAGGAGAGTCATGGCCAGCACACGTCTCTATGCACACCGTGACAAGTGCGCGTCACAGACCCCAGTTCCATGTTTACATCTACCACTGTGTTTCTTCTTAACACACCCCAATCCACCAGACCCCGAAGATCGACGGCAGCACCCTTGGCGGCAAATTAACACCCGTGCACAAAAGCAGAAGCACACCGGCCATTGCTTTTTTTTCTCCCACATCCTGGCCCTCGGCACGCCATGGCAGACCCCCTACAACGGATGCGCCAGCTGTGTGAGGCCATTGCAAACACCCGGTTCCAGGGCCCCGGCGCGTTCACAAACGCGTTTTTGTCCAACACCAAAATCACCGCCTTGTTGCGCGACTCTGTGCCCGGCGAAAAGGGCTTGTACAAGGTCACAAAAGGCGCGGGCGTGGCCAGCTCCATGATCCGTAGGCGCCGCAAAAAGGGCAGGCGCCAGGACGACGAGAACACAGGGCCCGCGTTTGTCGAGCTCAAGCACGTGCGGGTCGACGGCAGGTCCGTTTTTTTGGACCACGCTTTCTCGTTGAGCGGCAGAAAGGCCGTGCACGTGCCCCGCCTCACACCCGCCAATGCACACACCCCTGACCCCTGGTCCTCGTCCGAGACCCACTCCTCGCCCACACGCCGGCGGCGGACGCCACAGCACAGAACGGCGCCGCAAGACTCGGGCCAAAACCACGACGTGCCTGCCCTCTGCGAGGCCATCGAGAAAATGGCCAGCCAGCTCCCGGGCGCGTCGGGCGCGCTGGCCCTCCGCAACAAGGCCCTCAAGGGGCGCGAGGACTACTACAAGTTGACCCATGAAATTGCCAACTTGACGCACACGGTGGCACAGCACAAACAGCACCTCGAGCGCCACCACGACAGCCGCCCCGAATTGCTGCCGGTTCGAGGGGGGCTTTCGCCGTCAAAGACACTCAGTGTGGACGAGATGATCCGAAGGGAGGAGGAGAGAATCTTGCAGCTCGAGAGGGAGCTCGAGGCCACTGCGGCAGACCCAGGGCATCCAGGAGACCACGTGCGGGCCCAAATGTAAACTACGGTCGCGTAACTCTTCTTTAATTCAGACTACACGGACACGACGACATACGTGACCAAAATCATACTTGTCAGCAAACTATATTCAGTACAAGATATATGCAATGCGCTTAGATGGCAGACAAAATGTCAGAGTCACCGACGTCCAAGATGGCCATGGTTCCGACTCTGAACAACTTACCGCACACGGTACCCAACTCGTTGTTACCACCTTGGAAGTAGTAGACTTGAGTCTTGGACAACATGGCGTAGTACTCCAACTCAGACTTTCTCAAGACTGGGGTGTTACCGGCGATGATGATCAACTTAGCCTTGCCAGATCTCAAGGACTTGACGGTAGACTTGTAACCCAAGGCGTACTTACCGGATTTGATAACCAAACCCAACTTGGCGTTGATGTTCTCAGTGCTCTTGTTCTTTGGGGCCTGAGATGTTAGTATGATGCTGGCGAAGAACTAGCTGCCACCTCGAACTACGAAACAGAATGACAATCGCTGTCATTCCATGGCAGCGTGGATCATGAAATTATACGGACCATCTCTGTGATTTATATGTGGTATAACACTCCGGTCAATTGATGAAGAGGAAAAGGGAAGTAGTTAAATGGCCAGCCCATCGCGAAAATCTCTGCCGGGCACCACTGTTTCCGCACACGCACCAGGGCGCACGAAAAGATCAAAAAAAACAGTCCACCCGAACCACGTGCCATCTAGGGCTTGTCGCGCAATGTCGCACCCCCCTCTCTGCTTGTGGCTGCAAATAAGAACCGCCGCCAGGAACATCCCGTTTTCTCCTCGCGTCTGCCACCAATCATCCATGTTTGCCAAGCCTGGGCTACCAAAATCGCCCTTTTGGCTTAATTGGCTCTTATGAAATCTGGGCACGGCTATGCGTGGTGGAAAGCTTGCTTGTTCTGCTTCCTAGTACAAGTGGTGAAACCCATAATCAGGCGGCTAACGTCCAGGGACGCACTGTCCTGCTCACCCGCGACATGCGACATTGTGAGCACGTGACTGGCAACACCTGCGCCAGCGGACGCCCCCACCGAGACTGCTCCAGGCTCGCGATCCTGCACCGTCCGCCGGTCTCTCAATCTGTGAAAATTTTCTTTTGAATTCGCACTCTCCTTTCACTTTCTTAGTTAGCCAAATTAGTATGTGTGAATCCGATGCAAAGTGCTGGCACAGGCCCCGACCCTGTCTCTTTCAGCTGATTGAAGATGCCATATGTCATGATATGATGCTCATGTTATACAGCTGACTGTGGATATGTGAAAATGCAGTGTGTTGCAGAAATATGTGTCGTCCGAGGCAACTACAGTTTCCCTTGTTTTGGGGCCAGAACAGCAAGAAGTATGCGTATCGAAAAATGTACTAACATCTCCAGCACAATGAAGATCGAAATTGACTCCTTCTCCGGTGCTAAGATCTACCCAGGTAGAGGTACCTTGTTCGTCAGAGGTGACTCTAAAATCTTCAGATTCCAGTCCTCTAAGTCTGCTTCTTTGTTCCAGCAAAGAAAGAACCCAAGAAAGATCTCTTGGACTGTCTTGTACAGAAGACAACACAAGAAGGGTATCACCGAGGAGACCAAGAAGAGAAGAACCAAGAAGACCGTCAAGCACCAAAGACCTATCGAGGGTGCTTCTTTGGACTTCATCAAGGAGAAGAGAAACCAGAAGCCAGCTGAGAGAAAGGCTTCTAGAGAAGAGAGAATTGCCAAGGCCAAGGAGGCTAACAAGGCCAAGAAGCTCGAGAGAAAGGCTGCTGGTATCCAAGCCGGTACCAACGAGAAGGTCTCCAAGATGGGCCAAAAGGGTGCTTTCCAAAAGGTTCACGCCACCTCCCGTTAAGCCTAGCATTAACACCTTCCTCTGTACGAAATCTATCCGTTCTTGAATACAACAAGTTCTAATACACTTCCTGGTGTAGCATGTAGATGAACTCTGGATGTGCCCACGCATCCCTGATGTGGATTGAGTACTCAGTCTAATTTGTATTCACCACTCAAAAACTCGCCGACTGGGCGGTCTTTCCGACTGAGCACAAGTTCGGATTTCCCCCGCAGTCTGAATGCAAAGTAAAGCGATTCGGTGCTATGGCAAAAAACGAGCCGCGTAGCATCGGGCGATCGCACCACCATAACCACGCCTATATACGTGATTTCTTCGACGCTGGCATTCACGGCTGTTTTCACAACCAGCTGGCTTTTTCGTAATATGTGGGACTCTAGTAGTGGCCCCAATTCGGGCCATTCGTTGCTGTCCCCGAGAGTTCCAGCCATGTTTTCACTGAGATACCCCGCCAAATTCATGGCGATGATGTCGTCCCCATTCCCACTGCACATGCAGCTCACCTCGACATCTTTGTAGCGACTATATCCAATTCCGGACCCTAAGGTGCCAGCACAACTCACCCGGCCCGGCAAACGGTAAAAATTACCTCCAGAAGATGACGCTATACGCGTCGTGCGTTTTGGTGAGTTTGCAATCTCAATAAATCCCACGGTATCCTCGATGCCAGGCAGGACAAACGTCTGTTCTGTTGTTGGCAGAGATTTTTCGGGATTCCCCTTTCTTCTTTTATAGAACTTCAGCTTTTTCCTTTTGGAGAGGTCCAACTTTTCTCCACCAGACTGATTGTTTGGCTTGTCGTTGGGTTCGGGTCCGTCAATATGAATTGAATTTAAGGAACCTGTTTCGACAGGAGTGTTCAGTGTTTTGCTTGTCACGTCACGTCTACGGCGCTCGTCATCAAACATCGCTTGGAACCGCCGAAACGCTGCCTTCATTTTTTTCACAACCAATGATCTCGGCTCACCATTACCAAGCGAAGCCTCGCTGGTTCCTTGCATATTATTTACATATTCCTTGTATGTTTTGTAATCAAGGATAGTGGGCTTGGAGAGACCGAAGCATCTATCAACGCTACCGGCAGCGTACTCCTGTTTCAACTGACGTGCTATTTTATCAACGCACGTGGTTGGAAACGCGTCGTCGTGTATGTTGAGCAATGCCAAGCTGTTTACAATACGACCATCGCTCACTTCTATTAGGCATGCGTCGGATGTGGCGGTGCAGGTTCGATCGACACTTGAACCAAATCCCGTATTTGTTAGGGCACTTCTCTCAACAACACGTGAAGCCTGGATGAGATCACTCGCGCAGATGGCCGATCGGAGAATCTTCTTGTAGTTTCTTGTTTGTTGGATGGAGTGCTTTCCCGCGCCAATATGAAGCACCAAGATTGTGTCCATGGCTGGCGTGGAAAAAAAAAAGTAGTTACTCGAAGACAAGCCTGGATCGTCTTTTCTGTTGAAGCCTCGATGGCTTGGATAGAAGCAAAAAGAAATGGTCCCTAGCAGGATCGAACTGCTGATCTTGGCGTTATTAGCACCACGCCTTAACCAACTGGGCCAAGGGACCTTGTTATGAATGACAACATGATATGGTTGATAGAGGCATAGGCAGAAAGCTAAAAGTATTTTAAATTGGGTCTCATTTTTTGCATCGGATTGGTTTAATCTCCATGTTTGAGCTAAAACAATGCCCTTTTTTTAAAATGATGAGAAGGGGCATGAAAAAAGAATGCACCATCATATGAATAAAGTCGTATCGAACAACGAACACGCCAGCCACGCCGGGATGGTGTAACCTCTTGCGCAAGAAACGAGTCGATTCTTCGCACAATTGAAGTGAAAATTCACGAAAAAACAAAGTCGATCTTTTAGAAGCGTAGAAAAAACTGCTTCCTAGTTCTAGAGCCATACCAACACCCGGAGATTGCTCACGATACAGTCATGACAAGAACAAACAAATTCTCGTGAGTCTCCACGGCTCAAGGAAGCAGAAAAGGAATCCATCAATAAGGAGGCTTTTATGTCGTTGAGCTGCAGGAGGCAAGAGGATAACCACGATAATACCACAGCACCTCGTTCGATTATATCCCACCTTTCGTCAGAACAAACGGTGGAAACACTTTCGCAAATCAGAATATGAAGTAGAATAGTTGGAGCGGTACGATTGGCTGTCTCTTCATGGCTCCGCAAGTCCTCTCCAGCCATCTGATTTTGAACGACTACTACAGGAGACTCATCCTAGAAATTGATGACGTACAATAGGGAAACAGACACGTGCCAAGGGGACCATAAGATTTTAAACTTTCCTCCTCCACCAAATGAATGACACGAGAAGGCTCAAATATAGCTCTCTAATCTATTGCAGTTTTTTTCCCTGGTTTTTAGATTATGTTGTCACACACCTTCTAGCAACACCTTTGATATAAAAGATTTCAAAGGACAATTCACGTCTTGAATCCTGATGGTAGGTGTAACTCCACATTTGAAGGTATTCTAATATAAGATGTAGGTCTTGTTCTGTTTGTGGGCACCCATGTAATTTATCTTGAAATTTCACGCTCCTCTGACTGCAATTAACAAAGAAGTCCAAGCCACAATTCGGGACCTCAAGTGCTTGTGCAAGTTTGCTATATGATCTTTTATGATCATTTTGGATCTTAGTCGTATAAGTCAGATGATTCCTTTAAACAAGTTGCATGTTCTTCTCCATAGCAAGCAGTTGGTCTAAATTGTCACATGTGGCATAAACTTCAAGCTGGTATTAGCTTGACAGTAATGAAACTTCATGGAGAAAAATGACTTCCAGTGAAATTTACTTAAAAAGGTCATATAACGTCTTTCTGAGGCTCTAATTAATGCTTGTATGTGGAGGCTGTGCAATTCAGATCTAGGCTTGTTTTGCCCCCATGTGAACATTTTTCAACGGATATTCCCAAAAAAGATTCGACATACTGCTCCCGTTTTTAAACTTGCGGGAAGAGACAAACCCGTTTATTTTCTCATTGCAAATCAACTTTTGTTTCAAATCAAAATTTGGATAACGATCATTTGTATTATACCATTGGGAAATCGCAACGAGTACGCAATTAATTTTTAACAAACTAGTATGATAATTGTGTTTTACTTGTACCCATTTTGAAAGCCACTGGAAAAAGTGCTTTAAGCCATGAAGCACTTACGTACATAATTGGGGCTATCATCAACCAAGGGTGCGTTGATTGCAGCAACATGGTCAATTTTGTTATGCGGCTTCCTAAAGAAGGGACCGCTCAGTTTCGCGAGTGGATTTAACTAGATATTTCAAAACTTAAAAAGCTTCAGACTAGATACTGTTTTGGAATAAAATCGTTCGACAGTGACGCAATCAATTCAGTCCGATTCGAACATCCTTCTAAAAATGGCATGTTGGTCTGCGGTCAGCTGGCAAAATTCAATTCTGCTCACACTTGTAAAACAGTTCTTCATACAGGAACTTCATTTATTAAACTTGAAGCCTAAAACCACAGCACTTCCCTCGGAGATTCGATACTCCTACAGCGGAAAAAAGTAACTTGAGATTTGCGCATTATAATACTTCTGGCTCTACTGAAGTTGCACACGCAATTGAATTCTTTAGCCACAAGTTCCCATGCCCGCCATTCGAAACCGACGAATGCAAGACTATTTTCGGCGAGATTCCTCTCAATTGACTCGCTATTATTATTATGTATAGAGATTCTCAAAAAAGTATGGATAGCCAAAAGAAAAAAAGCGGCACAGACTCATCGGCAGTTCTCCAAGTCCACCAATCCCTAGCTAATATAGAGTGACGCAGTGCGCATTGATAGCCGCATGCTTCGGGGCTAAAGTCCGGAACCCCAAGTCGCCCGGCCCACATACTGCATGTAGTGCACGTGACGGGAGTGGAGTAAACGTGACAAATTATTCGCCATCCTGAAGTTCGTACCTGGCGGGCTGTGTATTTGCCCAGAACGCCTGCGTTATCAACACCTCAGTCTTTCTTTCGCACAAATAACTCAAACTCTTATTTTCAAAGACCGCCAAACTCCTGTACTCTGCCAGTAATCTATAATGCACTCAGTAAGTGAGACTTGCCCAGCCTTTACATTGCGCGCTTCGCCCTGAAAAGCAATTGAATCAGACGATTCGAGAAACATCATTAATCAGACAGGCAAGTTTGTGAAACGTAACACCAAAATTCAGGTGTTTGATCTGACTGCTTCTCGATGACTAATATACCTGCCGCAAAAAGATGATTGACTCCAATCACTTTGTGGGTTCAGACCCAAGGTTTCACGGCACCGATCGAAGTTTCCAATCTAAAACTGCGGGAAAAAGGTATCTAACATATTATCAGCTTAAATAATTTGTCGTCACTCATGGTTGCGAAAACAATCGAATCCCATGCAAAGAAGTGGCAAAAAAGCCGATTGATAAGGCCGGTTGCGAGCGTGTGGTTGAGTCACGTGCGCCTACGCATGATGTAAGCTTTTTGCCCAAGCCCCTCATCGCCAAGATACCTTGACTCTCCCGATCGAGTTCGCTATAAGAACAGGCTCGCCTACGGCAATTCTTTCTTATTGTCTATTATTCAACAAAGCATATCTCATTCCGAAGTTAGAAAAAAGGCACGCACATATAAAGTCTCTGCCTTCTAAAGTGGTACATATTCTCGCAAGCCTCAGACAACTCTCCACGTTCAAAAAATCCTTTGCTCAAGCCGACTCATAATACGCTATGTTTTCTATTCGTCGCTTGGGCCGTGGAATATACAACGATATTCGGAACCGACTTCCCTACTATGCTTCAGATTTCAAGGATGCCCTCAACTACAGGGTGGTGCCTTCGGTGATATACATCTTCTTTACAAATTTGCTACCTGCCATCGCTTTTGCTCAAGATATGTTCGATCGTACAGATAATCTGTACGGCGTGAATGAAGTGCTTTTAAGCTCAGCTCTTGCAGGAGTTATATTCGGTCTCTTTTCGGGACAGCCGCTCTGTGTCGTTGGAGTCACAGGCCCAATTGCGATTTTCAGCTATACCATATACGAAATCATGACGCCCCGCGGCACACCATTTTTCCCATTCATGTGCTGGGTGTATCTCTGGTCGATGGTCATGCATTTCGCCATCGCCCTCCTCAACTGGGTGCTGTTCATGAAGATCGTATCTAATTTCTCGTGCGAGGTATTTGGCTTTTTCATCTGTATTGTCTATTGTCAAAAGGCCATCCAAATGCTCAACAAGCAATTTCACGATGATGGCGCTGCAGCAGGATTTTGTTCTGTGATGATTAGTTTGCTAATGGTGATATTTGGGCTCGGGTCCGGCATGTTTGGCTCCCAGCTACACTATTTCAAGCCCAAATTAAGAAAGATTTTTGCCGACTATGGAGTTCCTCTTTCTGTTATTTTCTTTACTGGATTTATACACTTTGGCGGATTTTTGGACGAGGTTTCGTTGTCTCGCTTGCCAGTTACCAAGGCTTTTGCTCCTACGACTCTGTCTGCCGAATTGGGCAGAGAGCATGGTTGGTTTATCCATTTTTGGCCCAACGAAAATATATCTGTGGGGGATGTTTTCATTGCCGTGCCATTTGCTATTCTTCTCACGTTTCTCTTTTACTTTGACCACAACGTCTCTTCGCTTATGTGTCAGCTGAAAGATTATCCATTGAAGAAGCCGGCTTCATTTCACTGGGATTTCATGTTGTTGGGGCTAACCACGGGCATATCTGGTCTTATTGGGATTCCAGCACCAAACGGATTAATCCCTCAAGCACCATTGCACACAGAGTCTCTTATTGTGCACGATTTGATTACTGGTGAACCAAAATCCGTCGTCGAGCAGCGTGTGACTAATACTGGACAAGGAGCATTGACTTTTGTCATGATGAGCGGGCCTTTCTTGATTTTATTGGGATTGATTCCTCAAGCAGTTTTGAGTGGTCTCTTCTTTATCATGGGTATTGGTGGATTGAATGGCAATCCAGTGGTCAACAAAATCAGATACATCTTCCTTGACAATTACTACATCGAGAACGGTGCTGACGTCCTTCCAATTTGGAAAGAAATACACCGTATTCCGAAAGAAAAGATGAAATATTTCTACATCTATGTCTTGTTGCAGATTATCGCAGGTGTTGCGGAATTTGTAATCACGTTGACCACAGCGGCAGTGGGCTTTCCGGGCGTTTTACTTTTCTTCGCTATATGCGCCAGATGGGTATGGCGTTATATCATTCCGCAAGAAGATTTGGACTATCTTGATGGTGCTGTCGCCGAGCCTTTCATCATCAAAAGTTTGGAAGTTCCTCACAAGTCGATTTCATCCTCCGGTTCTTCTGAAGAAGAGGAGGGAAAAGAAGTGTGATATCAAGGTTTATCCCATTTGTGCTGAGAAAGGTTAGATAGTTTATAGAAAGCGTTTGTTTATTATTTCTAAGTCTGTACGCCGCCTTGTTTTATTTTCCTTCATCTTTTCCTTCATCATGTGGCCTGGTTTCGTATATCTCAATAGCGCATTTTCGCTCTCAGATCAATGTTTGCCCACAAAGTTGATCGGAGAGATCGAGTAGTCTAAGGAGATCAAATGTATATACATGCTGAAAATGATTAACAAAGCAACCGAACCAGAGTTCGTGCCAAGCGGGTATCACAGTAGAAAGTTTGGCTGGACATGGTTCAAGCAAAGATGACAAGGACAAAAAAAAAAAAAAGATGAAACATCGGGTATTTCAGGTGAAAGTCGATGCAAGCGCATGTGCTTCTAATTGTCAGGCAAAAGCCATTGTTCGAAGTTGTGCTTCACTCTCAACTGAACTTCAGTTGCCTTTGCATCGTTATCGTCCTTTCCATTCAAGTAGCCAACCTCCAAGTTTTGGCATTGTTGCACAGACGTAAGGATAGACTTGTCCAACTTCTCCTCCTTGGCTTCTTCATCGGCTTCCTCGATCCCGTTCTTAATTCCATTCACAATAATCTTCACTCTCTTGAAGTTCAAGATCAAATCCAAGTCAACCCAGCCTTCAGTTCCCATGCTTTTTCTCAAGAAAACATCTCTGATCAAGTTGTCCAAAGAAAAGTAGTAATCAATTTGCTGAGTCAAAGCTTGCTCTGGGTTCTGCTTGGGGCTTATTGGAGGAGGAATCTGCACTGGTGCAAGTCCATAAGGCATCCCGGGTGCCATCATGGGCTGTGGGTGTTGAGGGAGGGGAACAAATGGGCCATTTCCCATGGGGTGGAAGCCATTTTGCACAGCATATCCAGCTTGAATGTTGCCATTGCTGTTGCTTCTTCCGTATGGAGCATTGCCCCCATGGGATGATCTAAATTGTCTGTTGTTTCCTTGGTATTGAGAAGGCACAAATTGTTGGTAGTAAGCACCTTGGTGACGCTGCAGCTGTTGACCATGCGATCTACCGTTGGCGTTGCCTTGAGGAGCACCGTTTTGATTGTATCTTCTGAAGCCTTTTTGTTGCTGGCCAAACTTCTGTTTGTTTTCACTGTAGCCTTGTTGCTGCTGACCATTCGAGCTGGCCTCGGTGTTGTCATGCAGAAGTTCGGGTGTGGCTTGGGTGGCAGCAGACTTTTCATCAAAGTCAGTAATCTCGTCCTCCTTGGAGGAGTTTTCGTCCTTCTTGACAGAATCATCAAAACCTGGAGCAGAGGCACTTTTGTTTTTGCGAGTGTTTTTGTTCTTTCTCTTGTTTTTCTGCTGATTGCCGGCACCACTGTTTTGCGAGGATCTAGGGCTTGGCAACACGACCTTGGCGTTGATTGGTACCCATTTGCTTGCCTTGATGTCTTTTGGTTGAGCTGGCTTGCTGCTCGTTTGCTGAGACTGTTCAAACACAGAAACTTGGTCCGGAGTAGGCCATTTATGTTCATCCACATGAGACACCTTCACACTGCCAGTAGCACCCCAAACAGCTTTAGAGGGAACAGGAGCAGGGGTCAAAACCTTCTTTGCTTTTGGTGCGGGGGTAGCAGCTGGAACAGAAGAATCAGTTTCAGAGGGGACTTCCTCTGAAACAGTGTCAGGGGAGTCTTCATTAAGAGGGGTAGATGAAGGCTCGGCCACTTGCGAAGCACTAGAGGCAAGCTTAGGCGATTCTGGAGCAGACGCCGATACATTCAAAGACTCTTCAACAGAGTCGTTTTTAGTTCCTTGCTGAGGATTGGCTGCTACGTTGGCGTATGAAATCGACATGTTGCCTTGCGTAGGATTAGCGAATCTGTTGGGTGTGCAAATGTGAGGAGACTAGTGACTTTTGCAAGAAAAATATTTGAATATGATACTCAAAGCACAGTTTTTCCGTTTTTGAGTTTGAAAGCTGGCGGATGGAACGGGGCTAGCTCTGCTGGAGATTATGTGGCCGACTTCTCTGAAATCGTGCTTTTGTCACAAGATAAAAATTTTCTCAGTCTGAAATTTTTTTTTTCCTGAGGTGCAAAGAAAAAAACGCTCCAAAAATTAGGCCAAAAAAAAAGTCACAAACCTCAGACGCGGCAGTGGGCGGCTGGTGAGAAAAATATGGCTGAGCTCAAAAACGCAACGAGCCATTCACAAGGATCGAACGTGCGCACGGCACGAGAATGGTGTTTTGCGCGTGGTGGATGTCGGCGTTGATTGAAAAGAAGCTAGAATCACTTCCCTGAAGGCCGTGGGTGCAAAGGAGGATACGTTCTCGAACGTATGAATAAGACTTGCGAGCTTCAATGAGCTTGAATGTTCGCACGTGACCTACCTGGGCTAGCCCTTCCAGTATCCGGCCTGATCAGGCACCAATGAGTATGCACCAAAGAACGCTGAATTTGATGGCACGAACTCAGAAGACTTGAAAAATTGAAACACTAGGATCTGGTTAGGGGAGTGTTGCGGTTTCTTTTCGGGACACTCATTAAACCTGTCTTGGTCAATTCCACCTGCGAACAATCGCTAATAATGGACTGATATTCATTTTCCTTTCATGAATACGGCCTTTTTGTAATTGAATCACTCGACTAGTTTTTTTGTACACTGTGGTCCACAGGTGCTCGCAGGTATGCATTGACAGCTCTTTGGAAGTCACAATGCAAAGTCCCGAGGTGTCCGGTGATTCCCGCTTAATACAACAGGGTTAGAAGAACAAAAAGTACCTTGAAAAAGCCCAGCCAGCGGAGACCGCCAAAAACAAGTAAAAGAAGAATACTCGCGACTGGCAGGCAAACCCCGTTTCTTGGAGTCATTCGATGGGCGTTGTACCACAGGCTCAGGCTCCAAGGTCGAATGTAACGCCTGTTGTACACGTGACCTGTCTCCGGTTCCATGAGTCCAGTATTCGTCTATATACCAGGAAAAATCAAGTAGCTTCGCACTGACAATTTCATACCCCAAGCGCTAAATCACAGTACTTTGCCACTTAGCTTATTGCATCAGAAACTACCACATGTGGAATATCACCATGATTCGCAAAGAGTTGCATTTCGGACCCCGAGTCTCATCAGCCGGAGAATTGCACACCAAAACCCCGATTCGTTCCGAACCCTGTTTTGCACCCTGTCTTTTGTAACCTCAAAAACAGTCAAACAAGGATGACAATAGAAATGACAATACAAAATTACAAAGCAAAATTACAAAAAAGAAATACAATAAATAAACACAACAAAAAAATAACAATGCGTGCTGCTTGTTCCAACTGGCTCGTCATTTGCAGCTCGCCGCACGGCCGCACTCTATCCCCGAGGCTTGTAGTGGATCTCCAGAATCCGCACTGGCTCCCTCCACATTATCCTCCCCCACAAAACACAAGTTATCACACCACTCAAATCTGGGATTCCAAAGCCATACCTATATTTGCGACCACAACCCTTTTTTAATCCCATGACTATATTGACAGATCCTTTTTTCAGGCCGTTGCTTGAGATCGTACAATCCTCGCGGAATGGAGTCGTTTATGGCGGTAAGATAAGGTTCTCCCATGCTTTAGTGATAAACTTACTATACCGCTCAGGCCCCTTGGTGCCCAGGCTAAAGCAGGTATTCAAGGCAACAAAAGACCACTCGGCTGTTTTGGCAGCTTTTGCAACCATATACAAAACCGTGGTCAACTTGTTAAAGAAGGAACAACTCCTAAGCCGCAGGCCCAGTTTTGTCAAGTTTGTTGCTGGGGCCGTGGCTGGATGGGTGGTGTATTCTCAACATTTTGGGTACTTCAACCCAGGAATAACTCACCAAATCACGCTCTACTGCTTTTCGCGAGTCTTGGTGGCTGCGTGCAAGATCTTTCTTGATCTTTATTTACAGTGTCGTCAGCCCATGTTCACTGTGAAAGGCGAAGCCAAAAACTACGCAGATTTGACTCCCAACCAATCAAAAAGGTACAAAGCAAAAGTATACAACAAGACCTGGAAATATTTTGCTGTGCTCACGTGGGCCCTTGTCATGTTTATATACGACTATCAGCCTGAATATTTGCAGTCTTCATTGAGGCATTCCATGGCATATATATACGATGTTGAGATGGACACATGGGCTTCCTGGAAAGAGTTCTTAGGAATCCACCGTCTTATATAGTTGGGTTTTCACCAGTATCCCCTAAATGAGAGTGACGCGCTCCCCCGACACGCGAAGGGGACACATCATCATACATTTTCTGTGAGGACCCGTCTTTCTCAAGTAATAATCAAGCAAACTTTCGTTTCACCAAAAAAGCGTGTACCGTGCTTTCAACAAAATCTAGCTCGCTGCTTGGCAATCTCAGCATTAAATCGATGTCTGCCCCATCTATCAGCATTTCACAGGATTGTTCAAAATCGCACACAGACATCATATTGACAGTCTCGGGGAAAGGTTCTTTCTTTTTCGAAATGTGGCTTTTGCTCAGAGGGTATTTTCTATAGTTTGAAATTTTAAGATTCCGACCTCTTCTTTTTGGCTTCTTTGCTGGTACACCTTGCCTAGCAGCTCTTTTCAGTACTATGACTCTGTTTCTAATCTGTTTCCGTTGGCTGGTAGTTTCTAAAGCGGTTTTGCCGTCCTCTAGGTTCTTTTTGGCGTTTGCCTCGCCAACTTTCAATTTGGCTGTGTACCTCAGAATACACCTAACAGACGAAATCTGCTCAATACATCTGAAACTCCTGTAACATCGAGCCCTTGGAACCTTATGATTATTGCGTGCACGATCATGATTCGTTTGAGTAACTGGCGTGCTTTCGTGTCGTCCAAAAAACAGTCGCAACTTTTGGAATAAGTGTGTTCTTTTTCTAGATCTCTTTCTTTGTGGTCTAGGATTGAATAACCGGGTCAAGGCTTTCGCAACAGAAAGAAACTCTTTGCGTCCCCAATTTTGGCAAAACTCCAAAAGGTACAAGAACTCTTCTGGTTTGAGAGGTCTTTGGTTCATTTTGGTGATGCTAAACCAAAAATTATATGGAATGTTTGCTCTCAAGCTTCTGAAGTGGCCTTTTTTAAAATTGTGAAATTGAATTCTTTTTCTTGTACGTCGCGTTTCATATATTTTCCATGAAGGGAACTTACGCCATGCACTTGTCTTCTCACATTGATCGAGAATTTGTTTTGACTTTTTTTTTATAAGATAATTATTTTTGATTCTTCAAATTGGTGAATAAATTCTAGTTTGGAAATATATGCCAATGGGGAGAATTCAACACTTCAGTCCTCCCATGTCCAACTTCTCTTTCAATAGCTTGTTTTCGTTTTTTAACAAGCCTAATTCAATGAGCAAACTCTGCTTATTACTGTAGCTTACCATGTTTAAAAGTGCTTCGTTCTCGTTTTGTAATACGGTGAACTTGTTTGTGATTCTGTGGGCAATATCTTGGGCATCAAAAGTCCCCTGATAGTCGACAGAAACGTCTTTAGTCATGACAGATCCCACAATAATAGCTTCAATTTTGGATTTCGTCTCCTTTAATTCTTGAGTTCTTTCATTCAAAGTACGGGTAAGATCTCTGAACAATTGTATGTAGTTCTTTGGAAGTCTGATTTGCTCGCCCTGTCTAGCTTCGTCCTCCGACACAGCAGATTCTTCTTCAAGGAACCTTAACTTTTCCTTCAAAGACTCGTTGAGCTGGCTTTTGAACATGAGTTCGGATTTCAACATCTCGATCGTCTCGCGTTCAGAATTTTCATAGGAGTTGTTGAAAGATTGCTTAGTAGTTTTTTCAACAGAGTTCTGATTATTTCCCTTTGTTTCTGAGGATGTGCATCTGTTATCAAAACTCGAAACACTGGCTACACTTGAGTTGTAGCTGGGAGTGCTCTGATTCATTGACAGCTGTTTCTTTCTTCCATAACTAGCCATAATCTGACCCGGCATATTTTGCCCATATGCACCGTATTGCTGAGAAGTAGGTAATGACTCTTTGGGGGTAGCTTTCATGGTACTGATACTGCTGTAGTCTACGTGCTTGAACTGTTTTGTATGGGCAGAAATTCCCTGGTTATTCTGTCTGGAGTTCGCGTCGAAGATCGAGTTGTTCATGAAACTAGGCAAGTGGATACCTTGATTTTCTGTTCTTGGTGAAGACACCATATTATTAATCATGGAAGGGGAAGAGTTAACTCCAGATGAGTTTGTGTTGTTTGAGCGTGAGTTCCAGATCCTGTTTTGAGCGATTGAAGTGGGTTGGTTGTGGTGGAATTGATAAGATTTCACGTGCAGACCGCCCTCGTAGCTTTGGGGAACCAAGGAAGACAGGTACGTCAATTCAGGATCAGTATCTTCGCTATTAACAGCTGTATACCCACTGGAATTGGTGGCGGCAATACTGCCTGAACTCATGGGGTTGAATGAAATGTTAAGGCCTGGTTGATTATTACCAGATGCGTCCATCGTAAAGGGTTTTGAGGTGGGCGGGTTTTTCAGAAGGGATCAAGGCAAATGAATGACAGTCTAGGTCCTGCGAGAGAATTATGCTCAGGAAAAAAGTGTTACAAATCGCATGAGTGTCTGTCTTATCGGACGGAATTTATACACCGCCAAGGGTGCGGTACGGATTTGCAGCCAAATGCTTTAAAAGGAGTCCTCCCGCATTAAAGGAGCAAGAGCGCGTGTGGATGGGGCTGGCCGTTGCCATGTAGGAGAGAACGCGACTTGCATGTAAATGCATTTTGCTCCAGATTTGAGGAAACTCTGATGGGGCATAATTTCATGGCTTTCCGAATTGGTGTTTGTTCATTTGGTGCAGTGCGCTTAAGTTTTAAAAAAGCATATCTTATTGTTCAATGATGAAGTATGCTTGGGTCGATTTTGTAGTGACCATCTTCTCTAGAGGCATCTCTGGTGGAACTCGCTTAACCGAAAATAAGTTTGAGATGCCTTTGGGTCAATTCTTTGGATCGTCTCTCAGGCTCCCATCCCCAGGCTACTCTCTTCAGGGTTACCTCTTCAGCGTCATTTCCTCAGAGTCATTTCTTCGGGCTCATCTAGCTATGCTCACTTCTCTGCAAATTTCTTCGCGGTAGTATGCTACTTCAAACTTTGTAGTCATGATACCAGGTGTGAAAAATTGGTTTTTGCTGGTATTGCAGACACCCGCTGTTTTCTTGGTGGACATGACTCCAGTGCCCGGTGTTCAAAATTAGCCGTTCATTGATTCCATATTCGAAATATCAGGGGTAATTTTAGCAAATAGTTCATTGCTGCATTTACCGTCGGTTTCCAGAAGTCGATGTGCACCAGCCCAAGGCCTGAGAAAAGAGACTCTCATAGACTATTTTGAGTTGACCCAGAGGATTTCCCTAGAGCGCTTCCAGAGACTTCACACGCTGCCTCCTTCAGAAACCAAAGTGGGCATTTCCCGAGGCTCCCCCTGAACCACCCCCTAACATCTGCCGAAGAAGCTGCCCGTTCGGATTGGCCAACACCTGTTGTGGAAGCTTAAGGATGCGGTCCTCCAAATTCCGCCCCACCGAGAACTCTAGTAACACGTCTGTGAAATGATTGCAATTATTGTCAAACAAGTCGTAAGCTGGCGCGTTATACTTCCCCTCGTCGTGGTCCCGTAGATCCTGTAGAAAATCATGGAACGTGTCCTGGTCTATCAGCGTGGTACCCATATCCAAGACCTCGATCGGCGTGCCGTACTTTGTGGTGCCAGGCTTCGTACATACTTGAATGCCTTGGTCTATATAAAACTCCTGGCCATAGATCACTGCGGACGTGTGGTAAATGGCATCAATTTTACTACCTAGCACGATTGGCGAATATACGGCTGCAAGTCCGTGGGAGAGGTCGTAGACATATACCTTGACCGGGAACTCCTCGTCCATCTTATCGTGTCGATCAGAACTTTGGGCTTGCCTAACAACAGTGTCGATTTTCGACCCGACATGTAACTCGCGGATTCTCCTCTTTTTATGTCGTCTGTTATTTTTGCCACTCGCACACAAAGGCCAGGGCCAGACGTCAGTCGCTCGCCTTGATATTCGTCACTCCTAGCGCCACCTGAATTCAAGCCCGCGCACCGTAGACATCAGATGGCATTGAACCAGATGGACTGGGGAATACAACACAAGAGATACCTTAAAAAAATTATTAGTAGAGAGAAAGCAGACATGATAAGGAAACGAGAGATGAAAAATGCAACGCATGAAAATTTAACATGCAAAACGCAAATATCATCGGGCCTCGACAGAAAGCATTTCGATGTTCTTCTACTTCACTAAAACAATGGTCTTTAGAGCACGAATGCTTTTCAGCTCAGCTCTATACATGCTCTCGGCTCGCATTGTTTTAGGCTTTCCCAGATTTTTTCCGTGCGCTTGGTGGTTTTTGCATTTCTGTACACTCATAAATCAGCGTGAAGAAAATTCTTTGGGCACACTCTACCGCCAACCAAAACTGTACTCCTATGATGGCCCATTTTTGCTAACCTGGAATTGAAACAAACTGATACAACCCAAACGCATATAATGATTCTGCAAGCCACCCAAAATGAAATTTCCAATCACAAGCTCCAGCTCGGCAGTTTTCTCGCTTCCAAGTTCATCGATCAATCTTTGATTCTTGGATTCACCACGGTGATTCAGAGCAAATTCCACAAATGGATCGTCGCCGATGTGAAAGGATTCCATCAGTTATTTGTGGAGTCCGAAGACGCCAAGCAAGTCGACATTTCCCACTGCAACCTGATTGACCTTTTGAGGATCTTGTGGAGCGACTTTCACCATCCAATCGTAAAGCTGTACCAGAGACAGCATGCCGAATTGTACAATTTGCTGCTCCAATCTTTGAAAAGTGGCAAGAAAAAGTTCAAGAGCGTGGAAATGAGAAAATTAAACGAGCTGTTCGACAAATATGTGAAAGCAGTCAAACTTTTTTACACCAACGTGATGTCCGACCTCGGCACTACGTATGCAAATCCATTAATCCCTCAGAAATACTTACAGGAGTTCGACATTGTGGTCCCCACAGCAAAGAACGAAACTCTGTACGAATCGTTTCATTCAACCCTCTCTTACATCACCTTCTTGTGTCTTGTTGGCTTAGGAAATGTGTCCAGGAACTCGGCTCAGATTCGCTTATCGTATGTCCAGCCATGCAAGTCTGTCAATGCACACTATAAGCACATTCAAAAACTGAACGATGACAAGTCCAAAGGCAAGTCTCTCTACATTTTCCCCTTGCTCTGCTACTCGAAATGTATTGGCTTGCTTCCAACAATGCACGAGCCGTACAATCACATTGGTGTGATCTACAACTCCTTGGGACAAAAGTTCAGTGCCGTGCTCTGGTTTTTGCGCTCCCAATTTACTCGTGATCTCTCTTTTGCTGTGGGAAAACGCAATTTGGTTTCAGCTTTCACCAAACCGTGGTTGGAGGAGGCATACGACCAAGCAATTCGCAAATCCCCTCAATCAATAGAGCCAGCAGATGTCAACAACATCTTACTACGCATCATCGCAGAATATTTTTACCCCAGTGCCTTCAGAAAGCGTTTGTATATGGAAAAGGCCGAGTCTGATTTTCTCAACATCGTTTTCTCGGAGCCTTACTACGAGAGGTACGTTAAAAACACCAACATGATTGCTGAGCACTTGACTGTCTTCATTTGTTTTTATGAGTTGGCTGTCCAGTCGCAACAGCCCTCCAATCCTGAAAAATTCGGAGGGTTTGTCTGTCGTTATATCACGGCTTATCTCACCACATTGAAACCTCAGTCCTTCGGCCCCTCAAATGCTGAGATCCCTCTCAAAAATATTAGATTAATCTTGGCTTTCTTTAGAAAAAGCCAGATTATAAAGTCATGTGGTCAAAAATTTCTCAGCAGCTTGGTAGATGCTTTCAATGCTCTTCAGGACTTTGACGAAGAGCTGAGGAGTAAGACAATCGATGCATTTGTGGATGGTAAGGCACCTATCAGAAGTCATTATTTCTCTGAGGATATACACTTCAAAGACTTCACACCAATCGGCTGTCAATTCAAAGATTTCGACGATAGCCACTTGTTTCTGAGCGGAAATGTTCATCTCCTTTTCGGTTCCTCCTTCTACGAAGACGACCAAGGCATGACTGAACTTCTTGACAATGAAGCCGTTCTCCGCATAAACAAGGTGGTCGAGCTTGCTTCAGGGGACAAGTGCTACCGTGATAAGGTGGTTGCTGCCGAATGCTTGCGCTCTGAGAACATTTTGCGTTTACAAGCAAGCGTTGTCTTGGCAAGAAGGATTTTTGGTTCGCGAATTCACTTGGACTCCGAAAGAGAACGGTTTGAAGTGGAAAAGCTTCACGTCCCAAAAACCCAACAAAGTGACTATGCACCAGCTCGTCCCAAAAAGAATAAGAACAAGCAAGCGGAGCGTTCGAAGCAGCCGGTCAAGTCTGATTCGTTGAAAACAGCTGACCAGCGCTCTCTGCTTCCTACCCTGAGTGAACAAGAAACTGACAAGCCATCTTTCAAAGCACTTCCTTCTTCAATGGGAGAGATTGAGCTGATGATTCTTGGACACGCGCCCAAGTTGATAACTAAGCGTCAAGAACTGGAGACCGATGTCGGACTAGCTGACATGGTGTCAGCAATTGTGAGTGAGGACGAGACAAGAGAGAACTCGACCGCGGCTGGAGATGGCACTCAGAACGCCACAAACGAGGCCATTTCCAAATCAACTGAAAGTTCGCGTGTTGGCTCAAACCGTTTGTTGAACCACACGCAGTTCGTCTATCCTGATAGTCGCCAAGGCTTGCAACAACCTAGCCAACAATCAGTTCACCTGGAAGATTCCTCGCAAGCAGCGACTTTTGATAGGGCCGCCTACCAAAATTCTCAGATGGGATATGCACAACAGTTCCATGCTTCGCAAGAGAACCTGGCTGCTCAGTCTCCATTCATGCAGCAGTATTCACAATACTACATGGGATTCAACGCGGGTCAGCTTCCCCCTGTCGCCTCATATACCGGGAATATTCCTCCATCCACCGCATTTCATTCTATGCCCTTGCCTCAGCAAAATGGAGCCTTCTATCCTGGAATCCCTCCATTCCAGTCCTCGCAGCCTATGGCACCTACTCCAGCCAACTCCTACGGAATGTTTGCACCGCCGCACTATATGATTGCGCAATACCCGCCCAACATGCCTCCGCAATACCCACCTAATATGCCCTCGCAAGATGATCAGAAAAAAGATAAGCCCTCTACGCAGGGTGCGTACTCTATGTACCCCCAATACTTCAACCAATGATGAATTCACTGCGAGGTGCACGTGATCATGTGTCTGCATCTCTCATGATGAATGAATTGGGTATTGTACGTGCATACTCGCGACCAAACTAAATATGGGCATTGAACCGAGGGCTGTGTCGCGAATATATTGGACGCGTGCAAAAAATGTGGTACACATCAGTGACATTTGGGGAGGATAAAATGACAGACTTTTCGGCCTATCTTACATGAACATGTATACATGCAGTGGAAGAATAGAAGAGAAATCTAGATGAAGTATCTTGAGGCCGATGACTAAGTTAATGTGTTTCGGTTTGATTTGGGCAACATTGTGATATTATCAGAGCGATGATGGTTCCTGCATCATGCCGCGAATCGTTTGGTGAGAAGCGCCCTGTCGTACCCAGAGAGAAAAAAGGCCCATCGATCTGCAGTGGACTGATTTCTTTACGTCAGCAGATGCTCTGCTGTTTCCGATAAATATACACCTTCTTTACATTAAAGCTCACCCTGGTTAATCTCAGGACGGTGCTTTTTTCATAAATTCCATTTCATGGGCGAAATTACTCATCGTGTCTCCAACGAGACTTTCAAGGTCGTCACGCCTCCAGCTGACGCACCGATTGAGATTCTTAATGAATTTTACTGGACCAACGAATCCGAGCCCCACACGAAAAGACGAAAAGCTATCATTGCAAAGTACCCACAAGTTTCCCAATTGACAGGATATGAGCCCAAAACGAAATGGATAGTGGCACTAGTTGTGGCACTCCAGTTTGCTGTTGCCCATCACCTTAGAAACCTGAGTCCACTTTCGTTCAAGTTCATTGCATTGGCTTATGTCATCGGTGCCACGGCAAATCAGGCTATCTTTCTTGCAATTCACGAATTATCACATAATCTTCTCTTTAAGAAGCCGTTGCATAACAAGATGTTCGCGGTGTTCACCAACTCGCCCATCGGAATTCCATACTCTGCTTCATTCCAGCCATATCATCAGTTGCATCACAAGTTCCTTGGCGATGAGTACTTGGACACAGATTTGCCAACCCGTGTTGAGGCCATAGTGCTACTGAACGTGTTGGGGAAAGTTTTCTTTGCCACTTTCCAGATTCTCTTCTACGCGTTGCGCCCAATGTTCATCACACAGATCAAATTCACATACATTCACCTCTTGAACATCGTTTTCCAAATAGCAGTGGACGTTGTCATGATCAAAAACTGGGGTGTCAATTCGCTTCTTTATTTCATTATGTCGTCGTTCCTTGCCGGCTCGTTGCACCCTTGTGCCGGTCACTTTATTGCCGAACATTACGTGCTGAACAAGAATAATGTGCCAAGACACACACCTGTGAATGGCATCACGGTCAGCAAAGATTTACTTCCGGAAGAAACTTACTCCTACTACGGCTCCCTAAATCTTTTGACCTGGAATGTAGGGTATCACAATGAGCATCATGATTTCCCGTATATCGCATGGACAAAATTGCCTGAGCTCAGGCGCATTGCCAAAGAGTTCTATGATCCCTTGCCTCAGATTGACTCTTGGTGCGGCGTATTGTGGCACTTTTGTTCGAATGATATCAACACTCTCTGGTGCAGAGTCAAGCGGGCAGGAAGCATCAAGGAGGGCCTGAAAATTGGTGGGCTAGACGTAAACTAAAGATGAAGCTGACAAACGATCCATTGCCATACCGGGGCCTCAAGAATCGTACATATATTTGTCATCAATATTAGAGATGAGATCATCGTAATAGTAATGATCGCTGCTACATATAACAAAATGCAGTTCGCCGTTTGCTTTCTATAAACATGACTTAGTAAATGTCTGATCACAAGTTCTTCACCATCTTAGTGACCGCACCCAATCCGTCTTCATCATACGCAGCCAACTTCTCCTTGACGTACTCAAGGAAAGATTCGCTGTCCACCAACTCACCTTCGTTCGTGTCATCACCTTGACCCAAGACCTTGACCCTCACTTTGCCAGCAGGATACTCCTCCTTGCCCAAAATGACAGCAAGCTTAGCACCAGCCTTCTCGGCAGCATCGAATTGCTTTCTAGGGTTGGCTTTGGCTTTGTAGAGGTACTCGGCGTTGATGCCCGCACTCCAAATCTGTTTGGTAACGGCCATTCTTTCCTTCAAAAACCCTGTCCATCCCTCTCCACCACCAAAGGCCATGACGTATACGTCCGTGTGGGTTGGGGAAAGAGTCTCCCATTGCTTAGCAGCTCTGGCTTTAATGATAGAGAAGATTCTCTCCACACCAAACGAGATACCGACACAGGGAATTGATTTGCCATTGGAAAACATGCCCACCAAATTATCGTAACGACCACCAGCAGCAATAGAGCCAACGCCCACGTACTCACTGGCATCCTCGACTTCCTTTTCCTTCGAGTCCTTCTTTGAACGTGCCTTCAACTCCTCGGCATTCGTGGGTGGTGCTGACGCAGAAGTGACGGCCTCATAGATCAAACCGGTATAGTAGTCCAAGCCTCTAGCAAGAGACAAGTCGAAGGACAAGTGATTTTCAATGCCCAAGGCCTCAACATAATCAGCCAATTGTGCCATCTCAACAATTCCCTGCTGAGCACATTCGTTTTGAGCCAAAAGTGGCGCACTTTGCAAGTAACTCAAGGTCTCACGGATGCTTCCAGAGACCTTGACGAACTCGCCGATTCTGTCGGCAACCTCCTCCAGCTGGCCCTTCTCCACGGTCATTTCTTTTTTGACGACCTCCCATGGCAGTTTGTCCAACTTGTCAACCGCAGATGAGATTTTTCTGACGTCTTCTTCCTTAACACCGCAGGCCTGGAAAATACCATCCAAGATCTTACGGTGGTTCAACTTCACCTTGAAATCGTTTATGCCCAAAGACGTCAATCCTTCGCAGGTGATGGCCAAGATCTCGGAGTCGGGAATCATGGTTTCGTAGTTTCCGGCAATGTCGAAATCACATTGGTAGAATTCTCTCATTCTACCCTTGGTCATGGCTGGCTGGTCTCTTCTGTACACCTTAGCAATATGGTATCTCTTGATAGACGAGATACTGTTACATGCCACAAATCTGGCGAAAGGAACGGTCAAGTCGTAGCGCAACGAAGTCAACTCTCCACCTTGGTCCTCCAAGTTGTAAATCAACTTGGAGTCCTCACCGTACTTTCCAGTCAAAATCTCGCGGAGTTCAAAAACAGGAGTATCGATTGTGACACCTCCGTGTCTTTTGAACAATGAGCTCAAAGTGCCAAACACTTCCTCTCTCAAAACCATATCCTTGTCGGACCAGTCCTTAGTGCCCTTTGGGGTCTTCAAGAGAAACTGTGACTCATTCTTTTTTGATTTCTTCAGTTGCTTTTGATTTCCAGCAGCTTTTTGAGACGCGCCAGCGGCAGCTGCCTTGGCAACAGCCGGACTTTCAGTGGACATTTTGTGTAAGTTCAACGGCTTTCGAGAGAACAATCTGAACATGCACCTCCTGAGGCCAGAAATTTTCTTCCCGTGCATAACTTCACCCGTGGTGTACGGGTCTTAATGTGACGAAGACATTAAAGATGGGGAAGGATAATCAAATAGAGCAAGCCCTAGGGGGTTTTTTTTTGGCTACTCTCTTGTGTGCTCTTTTCGCGATAAGACTTAGCTCAATTCAACTGGATCTTCTTTCAAGTCAGGTTTGTTGATTTTAAACGTGAAAATCAATCAAGGTGAATTCGCATCGTGAGAGCATATTTTGTAATATTAAAAAACATTCTTTCCCCAAGATAGATTTCACCTTACCCTTCTTCTACTTAGACATAAGTGAAGTGTTCAAAGAATACCACGTCCCTATCAAGACTGGTAAACCACAGTTGCTTTAGTTCTATCTTGGATTAATTTGTTGTTCTGGCACGAAAGTCCCATTGCATTTTCTACTTGTTCTCAGTTGATCTGTATGTTCCTTACCGGTGATATTGATTTCACAACCCGAATAGATAGATATAAAAAACCAAAAAAAAAAAAAAACCATTCTGTATTTCGTTTCCCATCATCAATGATCATAAACTGCGTCATAATTTCCCAAGCCATCACAAGTCAGAGCATGTGCTCACGACTCCAAACAAACTAGTTTACCTTGAGGTAGCGCCTGTGCCTTGTCTAAGCCTCGAAACTCAGTCCTCATTGAGACCATTCGGTTTTGAGTAATTTAACCGCATGACACCGTCACTGAGAATCCGTTTGCCCCAGTTGCCCGCAGCAGGATCTCCAGTTTCATCCCTACATTGTTTCAAGAAGGGGAGCAAGGAGGTACCGCCTGTGCCCTTTTCCTCTCCGTCATTAAGTTTCTTCTTTGCCAAGCCAGATCTCATTGTCAGCAGCGATCCGAGCTTGGGGGCCTTCTTTGCTTGGAGAACCACGTAGCGCGTGACGATTTGTATGTGCTTGTCTCTGAACAGTTTTGTCATCGCTAAACAGGCATCATAACTCAAGCTGAGTTCTCCATTGTCGGGATGAGCCGACACCGTCTGCCTGATCTTGGAACCCGAATCTATGGCCTCCAAAAACTCCCGGTGCTTCCGTGGCATGTAGTTTCTCATTTCCATGAGATAGGAGTTGGCCGCCTTTGCGGGCTCTGCCTTGCTCTCCGAATGCGGCGCAGGACGCTCACCAGTTGAGTGATGGTTGATACTAAGCAAAGAGTCGAGGAACTGGATCAAAGTAGACTGGGCATTCGAGCCACCAGCATACGCTCTGGGGCTGGTCTCATTCCCATATAAAACACCGTCTTTGTTGAGACCGACATCAGCCATGTTCTTCCAACCGGCTAAAAATGGCCTGATCCGGAAATAGAACACGTGCGGATCGCACATCTCCTCCATTTGCATCAACACAGAGCCCAAATGGTCGATAGCCAGGGCCAAGTTTTGTAGAGACGTAGTCAACGCCGGGATGTTTCCGTTCTCAGCATGTTCCAAGGCCTGCTTACCGAATTTGATGGCACGGCCACCTTTATATTCAAAGAAAACACTTACAAGATAGAACCAGGATTCGTCCATGGCCCCTGTGAATGTGTTGATCGTGGCGATATTGTCCAAGTCCATTTCCTGGTCTTCTTCTCCCGCGGGAGTAGGGAAAATCTCTTTGTAATTCCAGAGGCACAAGGTGGCGTAGGTGGCAAGAGGAGGGAGTCCCAAGGTCTCACTCACATGGACTAAAGGAGCGGCGATTTGCTCTGGAATTCTGCTGCTGGGCTCACTTGTGCCCCATACGTAGGCATGCGCCAAGAAGCCCAAGACCTGGTATGCCCGTCTGATTTGAGGAACGTTCTCCAAGTGGTCAGGGGACAAAACGGGCATTTTATCAACGAGCCCTCTAACGCGTTTGGTCAAGAGCAAGGCAGGCAAATTGGCCACCAAGTCTTCCCAAGGCTTGTAGTACGCTTGAGGCAAGCACGTCACGGGGAACTCGGAGGGGAGAAACCCCGTTTTTTCGCTGACATCGAAAGACAGAATGTCGAGCATTTTTGCGAGTTCAATAAAGTCGGGCGCCCTGCTGCTGGGTATTTATGAGGCTGGACTACGGAATAGCTGGCAGTTAGAAAGTGCCCCAAATTCGTAGCACTGGCGCCAATATGTCAGCGGGTCACGTGATGCCGCGCCTGAGATCAGCTAATTTTTTTCGTTCATGCGGGCCGCACTCGGGCGAGGCCTAACTGCTGATACCCTGAGATTGCAATAGTCTCCCAAACCATAACGAATAGAGCTAGGCCCACTCATTTATGCAAGGAAAAATTGCTTTTGCCTGGCTGGAAAGAGTTTCGGAGAGGGAACCCACTTTTGTGCCTGGATCCTCGCTTGTCGCTTTCATTCACTAAACCCGAGAAACATCTAGCCCCGAGCTGGGTACAGGTCGCCGCTAGTCCGGGAAATTCCATCTCAAATGACGTAGCTTCGTGAGAGATGGAGCACCGTGCTACCCCTCAATTTTCTCATTTCTGGCCCAATCTCGGGCACCATTTTCACTTCCATCAACACGCTCTACATGGTGATTGAAATGCTTCCATTGACTTAATGTGTTCGCAAGTTTCTCGATGGATGTACAAGCTCGTGGGAAATACGTGTGTGCAATATACCTCGTGGCCATGTACAGTATATTGTTTTATCTGATGTTACGAACACCGACCGCTGTTGGAAAACCCCAAACTCCTGTGTTTGATTTTTATTATTTGGGCTTATTGTTACCCTAAAGCGGTTGTATAGAAGTGTAGTGGGTCATTTTTGTATTTTTTTTGCTGTCTTGTTATCGTACTCTTCCCGCCTTCTCTTTCTGGTGGTCTCATGTCCACTTCTCTTGACTCGGACTGCTATACGACGATACGTACTCCTACTTGTTGCCTAGCTTACAAAGCCTCCACCCCTTGAATTCTGACTGTTCACTGACTCTATACGAGTGTAGAGGTTTTCGTCAGACAGTTCTTGTCAGATGGGTACGCCTTTTGATCGAGACCATATATTACCCAGACCCAATAATACGTGAAATGACTTTTGTTGTGTATATTCTCTGCATTATCACGTCCAATCGCAAAGGCCACTCAAGAAAAATTCTCTTGCACTTCTAGTATTTTAGCCAAGTGTCTGATTTGTGATACGAGACTACTATAAGACCTGGAGGCAAACGACAGGACTGGAGCCACTACAATCAGAGAATTCTCCGTTAGATTCTCATTCAGCCTATTAACTCTGCATACTGCTCTAACCATTCTGAATACTCTGTAAGCATTTTACATACTGAACAAAAAACCATGAGAAATTCTGATTTTACTTTCAACTTTCGCAAAAGTCATCACAGCCCGGTAACGAACCATATCAGTACATCATTTAGCATAAGTGGGGTCGTCTTTTCCGACCCCACATAGACTTCAAGTCCAGGAATGTGGGCGGGGGCAACATGTCAGTAGCATTATTCAGAGGTCCAGCTGCACTCGCAGAAGTTTTTGGTGCTGGTACTCCTGCAATATCATCATCTTCCAATTCTCCCACTTCATTGATTTTGTCGTCTTTTGAACTGGGCCTTGTTCGTGAATCTGCTGGTGGGGCAGAGGTTGCCCTACCGCTAGGGGCTTTTTGTGCCTTGGAATCATCCTGAAAAACAGGCTTTGGCTTCCTTGGCAATGGCCAAAGATGGATGAAAAACCCCTTGGTCTCCTCGGACACTGCCAGCGGATCAGCCTCAGCCTCAGTTCTCTGATCGACTTTGAAGCTGGAAAACAACCTCTCAGGAACAGTGGAAATGCAATCGAGCACTTGTTTCAAATCAAAGCCCGAAATGCAGTTGTATATTGCTGTCTCGGTAGTTTGTGCTTGGATCGGCACATAGTTGAGGCCCGTGAATAATTTGAGTGCCTTCAAAGACACCCAATTGGTGATCAGACAAGTTTCTGACAGGCCCTGGAGATTGCGTTTTCTTAAGAGCAGAGCCTTCAAATCCCGGGCCACTTCCGTTGGATGGAGAAGCCAAATCAAAGAAATAATGGTTGCGTGCGATAATTCGTCTACAGTCTCCAAATAGAACTCAGATACGAATTGAGCCGTGTGTATGGCCTCGAGGTATTTTCGAAGCACAAACACAAGCATGTGGAACATGAGTTGAAAATCAAGAGGGAAATTCATTTTTTGGCGACTTGGACCCAAGAGTTTGTGAATGGAACAGAACTGATGTGGAAGAAGGGTATATCATGGGTGCAACTTTGGGCGCAAAATGCGGGCAGGTTGTTGAAGGGCGAGAACCACGCCGCAGCATGAAAAGGCTTTTTGCTCGCTCGAAAAATGACGAGGACAAAATGAGAGGTATGGACTCGGACTTTAATGTATCCCAGTTGCTGTTGTTTTGATCCAGTTTTGAAATTTACAAGCTGGCAAGGCAATTGCTTGAGTCTCCAAATAGCCTCGTCGAGAAGTTATTGAGTTGCGGCAAAAATCAGCAGAATCGAAGAATTGAAGAGTTCCAGACCCGCGATCTGAAAGAACAGTGCTGTAGAAAACAGAATGAGCAAGAATTAATTGAAAAAGGTTAACTACTGGTATTCCTGCTAAGAGGCTAAAGTGATCTGCAGCCTGACGGGCTTAGTATTATATGACAATATGCGAATTGGCTTCCCAACATGTAGATATATCACATACTGCACATCACCGCAACGAAGAAGGCCTATTTGATGTGCCACCCATTCAACTAGATTATGAGAGCATGGATTTTGAAGATGGCTGAAGCGATCCTAGAACAGCAGAGCCTAGATCGAAACATGCCTGTTAAGCACCTTGGCTGGATGGGGATTCAGGACTGTAAATTCTGAGGTGCCGCGAGAAAAGGGCGCGCAGTCATGGTAAAGGGGCTACATACAGGACACGGAGACCAGGGCGAAGTTCGAGGTTCCCGACACCCACCCGTTTCCTCTTTAGGTTCAAACCCCGGCAAATTGAAGTACGCATAGAACTTCTATTACTTGTGTGAAAGTGAAATCTCTCATCAAGAGACAGACCCAGAAACGCGCAATTGAAGTTCGCGCATCTCTTTTTCGCTTGCCGTGCTTCCGATTCTCAGCGGTCTCTCCTACTTCTGATTCTTTATCTACTTTCGTAAACGTATAAGAATACTGGGAAAAGAAAACCATGTCGTTCAAAGGGTTGAAAAAAACGCTTGTGAGAGCGCCGCAGTCTCTTCGCCAGAAAATGAACATGGGTGAAATTACCCAAGATCCCGTGTACATGGATGCTGAAAGGCGTTTCAAGGAGTTGGAGATCGAAACGAAGAAACTCAGCGACGAGTCCAAGCGGTATTTTACTGCTGTCAACGGTATGTTGGACTTCCAGATCGACTTTTCGAAGGCAATCGAGGAGATCTACAAGCCCATCAGTGGCCGTTTGTCGGATCCAAATGCCACTGTTCCTGAGGACAACCCCGAAGGTATCAAGGCGGCAGAGCAATATCGAGAAGTAGTGAAGGAATTGAAAGAAACATTGAAGCCGGACTTGGAGTTGATTGACAAGCGAATTGTGCAGCCGGCCCAGGAATTGTTGAAGGTGATCAATGCCATCCGCAAGATGGCAACCAAGAGAGACCACAAGCAGGTGGATTTGGACAGACACAAGAGATCGTACAAGAAATACGAGGAGAAGAAGGAGAGAACTGCCAAGGACGAAGAGAAGATGTACAATGCCGAGGCTGAGGTGACAATTGCCCAGGAAGAATACGACTACTACAATGAGATGTTGAAGCAAGAACTACCAATTTTGTTCCAGATGCAGCGCGAGCTCATCAAGCCATTGTTCGAGTCATTCTACTACATGCAATTGAACATTTTCTACACGTTATACTTCCGCATGGAGGAATTGAAGATTCCTTACTTTGACTTGAATCTGGACATTGTCGAAGCATACCACGCCAAGAAAGGAAATATCGAGGAGCAGGCCGACGCCATCGGGATCACCCATTTCAAAGTGGGCCATGCAAAAAGTAAATTGGAGGCCACCAAGAGAAGACACCAGATGATGAATGGTGGTTCTGCATCACCAACTGCTGCAAGTTCTGCCGGAACGCTTCCTCCTTACTCTCCTGGCCAAAACCAGTACGGTCAATTCGGAACTGGAAATGAGAAGCAGGGATACCAATCAGCGACGCAAACGCCCAGTAGCACGGGGGGTTACCAAACATACCCCTCACCGGGCCAGCAGCAAACACAACCACAGTATTCTGCACCCGCAACGCTGTACAGCCCTGCTGCAGCAAGCCCACCCGTCTACAATGCCTCACCTGTTCCCCCTGCTACACCTATGGGAGCTCCCGCTGTTGCAGAGACATGCACAGCTTTGTACGACTACACAGCCCAGGCCCAAGGTGACTTGACATTCACTGCCGGGGCTGTGATACAGGTAGTCGAGAAGGGAGATGCCAATGCCTGGTGGAAAGGAACTTACAATGGACAGACTGGTGCCTTTCCCGGAAATTACGTGCAGTTGAATCCTCAGTGAGCTCCCTGGTTGGGTCTCATGAAACATCGAGTGGCACCCTGAATACTTGAACAGAGAATCAATTTTGTATGTGTAGACTAGACTGTCGTTGTAAATCATGAAAAAACTTAGATATCGCAGAAAGGTAAAATGCTATCGATTGGTCGAGAAAGACAATGCTGCCAAGACAGCCTATACTGCACGAGTAGAGGGCAACGAACTGAATAACTCCATCACATCGCTCGCAACCAAGAGAAGCATCTTTCATGCAGAACGTTCTAACGAGGATTATAGCAGAGTGGCAAGCAACCCAAGAAAAATAATATATTATCTCCACTTCTCGAAAAATATTGAATAGTAAAAGAGAGAATGAGATCCTAGGAATTGTATTCGGACTCGAGACTAGGAAGTTTGCCTGTGAACACAACTAGATTTATCTTGATAAATACCCACGTCGATATTCTGGAGCTACAGAAGCTGTGCTGCACTTGACAAAAAAAAAACAAAAGTTGGCTCTAATAGAGAGTATCCATTATTCATAGAGTCCCCCAAAGCTACAGATATAAATGCTTTTGTCTTCTTCTACGGACCTCTATAGACATTTGCGAAGCTAAATGTGAATTTCTTTTGGATTGTAGACAACAATACGAAATTTGTGTCGCGGAGGATTCCGTTTATCATCAGTCCTACACATGATTGCAGGCGACTGTATGGTTGGACGAAAACGCGATTTTGAAATTAGACTTCACTGAAGAAGACTGGGAGATATGTTTTTAGCAACAAGGACAGTATTCGGCGCATACTTCTTCTTTCTCCAGTTTTATTATTCTGAATCATGAGTCCTCGGTCCCAATCCTTTCGTGCAATCTTTAGACTTTTGAACCATATCCTGAACAGGGGTCTCTATGATTCGAAAGGATTGTTTTTCAAGTTGCCAAGAAGACCGGAGTTATAATTTTGGTGATGAACAGAGGAGTATACATATTTTCGTGCACGTCGGATTCGTAATCAACTTCGTCACCCTAAAATGTCTTATCAAGCAGAGGGCTGCTATACAGTCTATGCATATAGCATTTTATGCATGATATGCAATGAACGTCCCCACAAAGCTATCACAAGCCTAAAATATAAGACTAGCAGGAATATATAAGCTTTGGTCTGTCCTAAACACCGTTCTCAATTCGTCTGGAAAACTGCTGATCATCTTATAGAATGAAAGTGACCAAGAAAATACTGCAAACAGAGGGAAATTACGTACGACCATACAGATCTCGTTCAGAGAGACCGTGTGACTTTTGCCGCACGCGGAAAACTTGCTGCATTATTGAAAACCTGATCCCGTGCATGGCTTGCACCAAATTCAATGATGGTCAATGTACTTTTTTGCAAAAGCCTTTGAAAAGAAACAGGGAAAATACTATTGCTATCAGGAAACCCCCGAAACAAATAAGATCTAAGGCAGGCGATAATATTGATGTTCTACAGCATACACCATTATTGAGATTTACTTCCAGCCTACCTGCTGACTCTTCTACCGATTCACAACTGGGTTTTGACGAAATACATGAACTTCTCTCTACAAAATCACTGTTGTGGGAGAAAGCCGAAAGATGTGCTCGATCCAGTAGTACAGGAAACGCACACAGCTCGTTTTACAATATACTGCAAAATCTGCTTGATATCCTTCCCCAACATCCACCAGATGCGTCTCTGGCTCCCAATTCTTATAAGCATCTGCCAGGCATTACCAAAGAGGACATTTTCTGTGCTATACAAGAGTCGAACGATATTGTCACACTACCCGAAACTCGCCTACACTACCAAAGCACACAGTCCCAACCAAGAGACTACAAATATTTAGAAAACCCGTCCTCAAATAACCCCCAGCATTGCAATCCGCATCAACTTGAGCAGTCTGAATTTTCGAGTGAAACTCCAACTCTACTTGATAATAGTGTGTTCTCACTTCTGGCATTAGGGTCGAATTCGGGATCCAGGGCCTGGATTCCTCAAGCATTTAATCCCACATACGCTTTAGTTGACTCCGGAAATACAGAGTCTTATGGTGCTCGATGTTTTTCTGTGAATCAGCTCCAGGATCTCCTGGTCGCAGCGTCATATCCCACGCAATTTCATCAAGAATATTGCGAAAGGTTTACTGATGGGGCGGGTGATGTGAGTGGCATCTCTACTCTGAACAGCTTCCACTAGCAAACGAAGGTCACATGATTAAGCTTCGAAGCAGATTGGGCTCTAAAAAAAAATCATATGCGCTGTATGACTGATTCCTGCTGTTACCTCGAAACCAAATCCGCGCCAATTGTTGCCAAGGGAAATCCTTCTGTAGGAAGTGTATATACTCATAATGCAGGTGTCGTCATTCTGGCACAGCAGGTATATCACTGCACTGGAATATACGATTCATGGGGTTTTGTAAATAAGCCTGACACGTAAAATAGACTTACTTATCTTGGCCACCTATGTTGGGCAATTAGGGACACCAGCATGTTTCAAAATTTCGTAGGCCTGTGCGTGAGCCAGGCTCTGAAAGGCACAAGAAGTAAAGCAATTAAGCAAATTCTCACTCACAATCTTTGGTATACCATGCACCGCTTCGCGCTCGAGGCATTTGTTACTGTATAATACAAATTTTACAGAAATGCATTTTCAGGGCTTAGATCCGCAAGCCTCCTTTAACTATCTGAGTTGAAGCGACTACAACAAGAGCTGTTCTAGGCTTCGATGGATTAGCATTCAATACGTTAATAAAGGCGTGCCGAGAGGACCGTCCAGGCCGTGACTAACGGAAGGGGACGGGCCAGGTTTCGACACTACGTACCCATTCACGAGCTGCTTGAAGGTTTATATGATACTTGATAATTATGTTCCGTTATACTGATGAATTTTCATGAAAAAAAATAGATCGTGCGCAGTGAAAGGATGTGAAAGCTCGGCGGCTGGTTAGATAAACGTATTTATACAAAACACTACTGTATATAAACTGTCTTCGACTTAAAACGGAGGAGGAGGGGATTGTTGTGCTCGTCAAAACCACCATCTCAGAACTTGATATATCAAAGTATACAAATTTTCATAGAGCAATTTACCTTGCTTCGAGATGGAATCCAAAACCGCATTTCCAAACTGCTAATTCTGTTCTTCGTTTTATTATGTCCAAAAGACAATATGCGGGCTAGTGCCTCCGGTATTCGGAATTTTCCGCTGAAGCTCCTCGTAAATGGCTGATTAAATATGCCGGGTGATTTTCTTAGCTTGAAAGTTGTGTTTTTTTTTTTTTGCAAGAATTCAAACAGCCGAACGTTGGTGTGAGTTGGGCAAATACATGAGAGGAACGCTGCAGGCTTTTGTCACCCATCATGTTTTTCTTTTGTGACCTGGATGGCTGCCATTGAATGTTTGGTGGGGAAGGTTATCTGTAGCTAACAGCGAATTGTCGAGACAGTTCTGGGAGTTCCGAAATACCGGCCGAACTCATTCTTCATCCCGAAATGCAGGAAATATGATTGATGCAAAATTACAGAGTCTACGTGCAGCAAGGCGCAGGACGCCAAGAATTATCCTCTGGTCTCACGTGGCACCCCGCAACTTTCGTGATAACTTCCCCGGAAAGTGAATTCTCGGCACTCCGGATTCTGCCGGCTGCACTGGGGGGTCTCATATCTTCAAGAACCAAGAAAGAAATATTGGGGGCATACGATTTTCCGTATTGGGTCGACTATTACTCAGAGATCTCAAAAAATGAAACGGATACGAGGTTAAAATGCATTTCATTCGTGTCGAACACTTTGTGTTCGCCTGCAGCGAATATTCCTAATCGAGCGATTAGATGCTTAATGAAAGACCAGGAAAAGAGATATCTCGGCGTTAGCTCGCCCTTCCTGATGTATCACAGAAAAAAATCTTATATACTTAGCACTGGTATTGGATTAAAGGCAGAGGAGTGCCAAAGGAATAATATTCACTCCTAGGTTACTATGGCTATGGTGTCGTCCCTTGTATCAGCTGGAGACTGATAGTCCCTGTAAGCGCATATATGACTATATGCAATCTCGGTTTTGGGAGTTGCAACAGTTATTATGTTGAGCGACTCCGAATATTTCGAGGTTTTTACGAGACCATATGATTTCTACGAGACCTCTATTATGTGAGGACAGGAATTAGTACGAACATGTGTATATCCCGCCAAGTCCTTTGCACATCAATATAATCAAAATAGAGGTGTATTTACCTGTCTAAGTAATAGGTATGAGGTACCAGGTTCCAGGCGCAGATAGGCTAATTAATGACCCTGTTCAGACTAGCACGTGAGATGGTTGTGACGTACACCGTATGAAGAGCAGCTCTCTTACATCATTTAAAATTATGTGGTCTGGGCTTTACGGGTCACCTTTCCTTTCATTTTTTGAAATCTTTCGTCAGTTATTTTCCCTTCGAATACATAGTCAAACCATCGTTATTTGACGACATGTGGGTTCTACCAACTTGAATTTAGTAACTGTTAGTTTTCTCTAGGCTTTCTCGAATGATTTACATCAAAGAGAAGTCGTGACAACAATAAAAATGACTTCTGTAGGGTTTGTGAGAGTATTTTCATCCGCGTATAACTTCTTATTTCAAGTTGGAGCTACCCAAGTCTTGAAGTCGGCTCTCTAGGCCAAATACTGCTCATGAAATTGTGACTTAAAGGTATATAAAAGGCTTTGTCAGCAATCCAGCAGAATGTTTTACAAGTAAAAGAAACTGCTGCGGGGAATCAAATTTTGTATATGCGATCTAAAAAACGACAACATCAAACGTAGCTTGATTTACCAAGAGAATTTAAGTGTCTCATATGGTTTTTTATGATAAGAAGTAACCCCCAGTCTACCCTTCGTCAAGAGTGAGAAATATTATCTTCACTCAAATGCACTCAAATGAGACCTTGAGAATAATCAAAGACCACCAAAAAGAACTAGATTCATCTGAAATAAAAAAATCAAGATTTCACCCCCAGATTGACTCTTCCTTTAACTGTTATGAGGATACAAGCTACTAGAAGTGTGCTTCATGGTGATCAGCCCGCCATATCAAAACAAGAATCAGTTTGAAAGCAGTATCATCTCATAGAAGTTATTCAATTACTTTAGATGGGACTCAACAGTAGCTTCAAAGATGAAAGTCATGATGCTTGAACATTTTGGGAGGAAAAAAGAAGTTGGGTTTTTAATCTGAAAAGCCACCCCCACTCTTTAGACAAAACAAGGGTTTTGAGTACTCATTCAAAGATTTCGTTTTATCGGCTTGCTTTTGTAGCTTCTTTCCCGCTTCTTGTCGGACTACTGATTGATGGAGCTCTACACGACATAAACAAAACTATTTGAAAATCTCTGCCAATTTTGAAGGTCTAGGCGGGTCCTTGAATATTTTGCTTGTAAGGCAGGACTGAGATGGTATAAACAATTCGAATACGAATTGTTTCGGACTTCTCTGCCATACAGAACAAAAACATACAGTGTTCTTTATTAAAAATAGCAATTGTATTTCAATTGGTTCTGGATGCTATCAAGATTTTGAATCGGTTGTATATCGACACATTCTTTTGAAAGGGATAGAAAAAAAATAAAAAATCTTTCCAAAGTTAACCTTTGAGGTACGCTGATAAGATATGCGAGCCCCAGGATAGGTACACAGTGTGTCATCTATGTGGCCCATTTCAAATTCATACTTGAACATGTGTATTTGTCTTCGCTAGCCCTCTAAACTCAAGTGGAGGCGTAGAATTGGTGTAGACTCTTTCGCCAAAACACTGAGTGATTTAGAATCGTGGCAACTGTTACGTTTGAAAGCGGGAAAAGAGATCTTGGAAAGGTTCTCGGGTTTTCTCCGTGCGTGGTCACATTATTCTGGCTCGAAAATTTTCCAGTGGAACACAAAGTCCAACAGATATCTTACGAATATTCACGAGCTCATCAGGGTGAGAGCAAAATTAGTATGAGCTGGTTTACTCAATATGAGCCTCATCAAGAGATTCCTCGATGGTTGCCTCAGATGGTCCAATAAAGGTAAATAAAATAAGTTACACAAGAAGGGAGATGTTGTTTGAGGTTTATCTCCGAAAAAATTCGATCCAATGAAGTCGAAAAGTGGAAAACTAGCACCCACCCATTCGTATTTATTCCACATAAATCCAATGAGCTACATAGTGAAGCTGTGTCGCCACTTGTATCGAGATCAGCTATACCGCAGCGACCTCGAAACAGGGAAAAATACCAACGAGTTGGCTAAACAATAAAGTGGAGTGGCCTTTAGTCCAAGAGGGCCGCCCAGGCTCTAGGCGTCAGGGACAGAGTTGAGAGAACGACGCTATTATTACACTTGCCACAAATAAGAGAAGCAGCACAATCCGCTCTTGGTCGCTATGCTTAGATGTCTTGGACATACTTAGTGCACATGAAGCCTAATGTAAACATGATTAACGAAGACCACCTGGATCTAACAAATGATCGCACGTGACTCAGGGTTGCAATAGGGTAGATTTTCTGCAAAGGCTTCCCCTCTGGTCAAGCCTACACGGAGGAAAAGACAAACCATGGATATCTATACACCTCTCTCTTGTGAATATGCCTTGCAACTTTTGAGACTGAGAACTGCAAGTGAGGTTCAGAAACTCGGGGACAGTTCATTATGAAATAAACACCTCAATAACTGTGTTTTTTTTTTCATCGAGAAGTAGGTGAATTTCCGGAACATGGGCTTGACAAGCTGAAGGACCGAAAATAATTCAGATAAGCATTTTGGTTCCAAAAGTACACCTGAGTAGTCATCGCATATCGCGAGATCTTCCTTGGAGCCAGTATGTGCAGGTCTCGGCACGGCAACAAGAGTCTATATCATCTACATTAGCATGTCTGTCGTGCAACGAACCGGTCGGGATACCCTTTTTATTTGGACTTCATATTTCATGAATGAAAAATTCAGGCTCATCTGCAAATGCTGGCATAAGCTCGCTTTTGTCGTCCAGCTTTTCATGTTTATCTTTGATGCGTCCAGAGGCAAAAGCAGGGAAACGAAATTAGTGATGTATGGCCAGCCTCGTGCAAAATTGCCGATATTTCCCATAAGGCTCCCTAAGTTCCGGTAGTATGATGATGCACTGATATGTCAAAATACCGAATAGACAACGTTGATTGGCGCGGACACCCTCGGAAATGGCGTGCACACAGACAGAAAAGCAAGCGACGTCTCGGTGAGATACCCAACCGATGGATTTCGGGAGAGATTTTCGGAAACAGATCGGTCCGCTTTTTTTTATATTGGTGTGGTATCTAGAGATATTCAGCTTGTTTATCCCTGTCTCTCTGGACAACTATTCTAGAGCCCGCCAGCTCGGAATAAGCATGTACAAAGTATGGTTCTCCTGCTCTCTTTCAAGTTCCGTTGATACCCGAAACAAATTTGAGGGAAATAATGTGAATGGCCCCCATATACCCCTCGCTGCTGGCATATAATTATCCTCGGAAGTCCCGCTTTTGTTGTTTCCGCCGCCGAATCCGGTGCGCGCACCCAAAGAGGAAATCCAGAGAGAAAAATATGCGTGAAAAAAAGTCCCGGCTGGAAAAAAATTATGGAAAATATCGCATATCACCGCGATAAATACACTGCGTTTCCTGCTGGCCCCTCCCCTCCTCTTCTTTTCTTTTCCTTAACCCGCGAAAATAATCAATCCAAAATGCTCCCAGCCGGTGTTATTCTTGTGTTCGTCTTGATCTTCTTGGCCTTTGTCGCCGTCGTTGCCGTTCAAATCCAAAAGAGAATGAAGGCTAAGAAGGCTAACCAAAGATTTTAAGGGAACTGTGCACAGTGCTCTTTCTTTGGCGTCCAGAGTTGATTGTGTGATCTTATGGAGGCTTAGTGTTGTTGTCTCACATGTTGGGGCATGATCACGTGTTATTCATGAGGGACCATTTAATGGTTTGGACCCGGCTTTGCCGGCGCCACCCTATTCAGAAACAAACATCATTATCACATTTTTATACTACCAATTTTTTTATATGAACTAAAGACGGGAATCTTTACTTTTTTTATACTTTTAATAATACGGGAATCAGATACATCTTAGCTGCTTCAAGTGGCCTTAACGTAGCTGAATAAAATCGAGTCTGAGGCGAGGAAGCACCCGGCATCTATTGCCCGGTAAAGAATGTCTGTTTCACTACTGTGGTCTGTTGGTGATCTAGCCGCAGAATCACCACTTCTGATCACGGTGGAGAATCAGGATATGTGGACCTTTGCTCATGTTGAGCTTCGAGGGAACAGCAGAGGCAAGTGGTGCGCTTACTTGTATCTACCATCTCTATCTCTAATTCCAGATTTGCGATCTGCGTTTTCAACGATTCCTCTTGTCTGACATCGACTGACCTTTTTCATGCTCTATTCACTGAAAGCAACTCAAATGTATCTAAGTAGTGGTCCTTGGGCTCAGGAACGAGAAAACTGCGGGGAATATTTACACCCTTCCCACGATTTTTTAAAAGATCTCGCTCGTCTAGTTACATAAACCGCTTGATAGGGTCGTATTTTCAAAAAATAAAAGCCCACAGCAAGCGGTTTCATAGTGTACGCTTATTGTCTGGATTCAAAATAGAGACTAGCTGCACACAAAACATCTAGACCTGCTCCTCCTCATCTTCAATATCTTCCGAGTACTCGTCTAGCTGAAAGGCCAACACCACGGATAGCACGGCTATCAAAGCCAACAAATTCCACGTGACTTGAGTTATTCCTCTTTTGTCGAAAAACGAGGTTAACGCACCCCAAGTCATTGGGGCGACGAATCTGGCCAATGAGTTAGCGCTCATGGATGTGGCATTGACCAATGCCCGATGTTTTGGCTTTGTAGCCCGGTAGACCAAAATTGTCACCTGCGGGAATGCTAGGGAACTGCCAACCACCGCTATCATTGAGTTCATATACAAAAACGCTTTGTAGAACCAAGGGGGAAAAAAGGAACTGTAGCCCGGCGACGTGAATATGATGTACGGTAGCAAGAAGTAGGCAATCGGGAACATGCAGCACGCCAACCGAAAACCGTCAATCGTACGCATGTGTCTGTCCATGTGCGGGAAAATGACAATGACCATGAAACACCCCATGAGGCCAACCGTTGAAAGCAACGAGCCGATGTCTTGTGTTTGCCAGCCCAAACCGCCTTTGACATGCCAAGGGAAACTGAGGCTTTCTTTTTGGAAAGTCCCCGCTAGAAACACGGGGACAAACTCGGTGTAAATAAGCGAGTGGAACGCTATGGAGAAGTATGCCAACAACGTACCGATGACCTTGTACGTGAAAATGTCTTTGTTTCCAAGGGCCGCCCAGATAGAGATGTGCTCTTCGTTTTCGGAAGCAGCAGTCATTGTCAGAATGGTTGGTTGGAGAGAGTACGCAGAAGAATACCGCCTCACCACTGCCAAAGATGATCTTCTCGTCAACAGACCCAGTGGCGTGATTAACTGGTCGTCTTCCTCATTGTCCAGATCAATGGCTGCGTATATTCTGTCTTGATCAATACTGAGGGGCGAGGCCTCGTTTGCAGACTCCGAATCATCGAGAATGGCAGAGCCGTCGGCTGCCACATGTGTCTTTGATGACACATGCTGCTCCCATGGCCGCACAGGGATAGTGTAGCCGAGAAGGCGGCGGATGGAGTCACCGACAGCCAACCCCACATCGTACTGGTTTCTGATTTTCACATGTGTTTCTTCGAGAAAAAGAAACCCAATGAGGGCACTTGTGAAAAGCATTGATGCCACCACGACATTCGATAGGGCATACGGATGTTTCGTGATGAAGGACTCGTAAAATGAACCCCAGCCTACAACAGCAGCTTCCTCGCCCTCGGGCCGGGGCCTGGTCAAATACCGCGAGCCCCCTATCAAAGGCCCAATGACGCAGCCCACGTTCCAAAACAACGGAAGTGTAGCAAACGCTAGTCCCTGATGGCGGCGCTCCTTGACTAGCTCTCCCACAAGGGTTTGCAATACTGCAATGTTTCCATTGAGTGCCCCCGCGGCTGTTCTCGCAGCCAAGGCCACGTAAAAGTTTTTGGAAAAACCAAACAAAACAAGACTGGCGGCAGTACCACAAAGCCCTGTAAGCAAGACCGGTTTACGGCCGATACGGTCGCTGAGACGGGCCCAGTGAATACAGCATAGAAACTGAGAGAAAGCAAACGACGCTGCTAGAAGACCCGAGTACTTGAAGATCTGAGATGGGTCTTTGGTGATGTGAAAGTCACGAATCATGAAGTAGATGTACGGAAAAAGCGACGTGAACGAGATGGGCTCCGAGAAACGCATCATCGAAATCACTGCCATCTGCCATAGGGGGAACCCTCGCATTTGCTCGCGGAAAGTCGTCATGACGGATATTCTGTGAACGTAGAAGCAAGAGATGCACAGTGTTGCGGATCTACATGTATTTAAGCGAGTGCGAGTGACTCAGTAGCGAGAAAGGTCAGATACGAGACCAGCAGATTCCAACGTACACCGTCAGAAAATAGCAGGGCCGAGCTTTCACAATGGGTGTTGGGCAGACTTCAGCATATTGATTTTTATCATTCCATGAACCTCGAAAAGAAGCTTTCAGTTCACGAATTTTAGGAGTATTATTGTACAGCGCCATTATAGTGGATTCCAGCGCCGCACGCCATGTCATCGATGCTTATATGCATCTGGGTACAATATGCAACATGGACCGGCATATGGAAACGGTTGCATCGATTAGGTTCCACGGTTCTCCAAAGTTAGACGGCAGTGATGCCAGGAGTATTTCCACGTGCCGAGAAATGAGGAGTAAAGAGCAGTGAGCTCTGGCTGGATGCTTAACATTGTATATTTCCAAATTTCTAGCAAGCTTCTTGCAGCAGTAGGGGAGTGAATCACGCAGTGTTGTTCATTTCAACTCTTGACTAAAGCCAAGAGGAAGAGTTCATTTTACTTGGTAGTATCAGAAAAAGCTACACTGTAAAGGCTGGAAGAGATCTGATTTAAATAAACGTGATACCTAACAGATTCGCAAAGCTGCAGTGCCTTGAGGCTAGATCTATTATGGCTAGATTCAAGTGCAGAGAGACAAGAGGAGAAGCGTAGAGAAAACCTACCTAAATGAATACACAGAATATGATATCCAGGACTCATTGAAATCTAATATTTATTTTAACAGTTCAACCGGAAGTACCAATCTGTCGGTGATTCGGATCAGGCTCATAAACAAATTGAGTCCGTGATTGTGTTGCGAATCTGATTAAGAAGTAGGATATCACCAAATATGCCTTTAGTCCACTGATTCCGTTTCAGGACAGAAAGGGAGTTGCCTAACAGCCCGGCGAAAATAAGCGGTAGTATGGGGCAATATGGCGCAGATCGGAAAACCGTTGAACAATGTATTTTTGTCTATTATTTCTCCATTCAACATTACCTGGGTTCACGACAGTTCAATCTTCATAATCTTGCATGAAAAAGGATTGCAAAAACCCTAAAAGGGCCATCAAAGCCATCAACCACCACGAGAGCCAGCCTATATGATGCTTGTCGCCCAAGGTCATCAAATAACCAAAAACAATTGGCCCGAGGAACCGCGCAAATGCCAACATACTCATAGTAAGAGAGTTCACATAAGCACGGTGCTCCTTCGCCGCAGCCCTATGATTAAGAATCATTATTTGGGGTAGCCCCGTTGCGGTTGCAAGGGTCTTGAGCGAAGTGAGGGTGTACAAGGAAAGGGGAGTCGCCCAAGATGGGAAGACTGTGTTGTAATTGTGGAGCGTGAAGATCGTCATGGGGACCAAGGTGTATACAAGCGGGAAAAAACAAAGCGACAAACGGAACCCTTGAAGCGTTCCTAAAGTGCGGTCTACCCACGGAAAAATCACAAGTATGATCAACATCCCAATGATTCCAGTAGAAGAGAAGAGCATGCCAATAAAAGAGGACTCTAGGCCGAATCCACCGCTAATGGTGAAGGGGAAGTGTAGGGAGCTTTTCCGAAACTGCCCGGCAAGAAGCACCGGTAAGAACTCATTATATGCAATGGAGTGGAGCGAGATGATACAGTTTGACAAAATGACAGTGACCACTTCCGGCGTGAGTTGTTGGGGCTTTGGTTGCCTGCCTGATGACTGCGAATACCGTCTCACAATAGCGTCGGACATCGTCTTGCTGACGTAAGGACCAATGGCATCGACTTCATCTTCATCGTCGAGAAGAGCCGCATCAGCTGGGTGGCTGTTGCCAGAATTTTGAGCCTTGTTGTTTTGCCTTGAGTGTAAAAAGTCATCACTGAGAGATTCAATTGATTCCGAGTCACTTACAGGCAGTGTGGTGATTGGCGGGGAAGAAAACGCCAGTGTAATTGAGGGGCGGCGTGCCTCTTCATTTTCGAGAAGAGGCGTTTCTTCGTCGGCTGTGCTCTTCTGTTGCCACGGCCGCACTTTGCGTTCGCCACCACATAGAAAGGCAGTCACAAGATCCCCCAACTCGAGACCTATGTCTCGCTTCTTCAAGAACTTTTCGTTTGTCTCCTCGAGAAATAGGAAGCCCATAGCGCAACTGAACCAGAGAAACATTGCGACAATGATGTTGGACAATGCATAGGGATAGTTGTCTCGAATCACGTTGTAGAATCCCAGGAGTGCCGATGCAGAGCCGAAGGACGAGGCTAGATCAATACGTTCCTTCTGGTATGGACTGTCAGGCTTGGGGTTGGTGAAAAGCCTGGACCCGCCTATCAAGGGGCCAATGACAGACCCGAAGTTGAAAAGCAAGGGAAGAGTGCTGAAGCCTAGCGCCTGGTGCTTCTTGTCGGTGCAGATCTCGCCGATAGCCGTTCTCAAAACCGCAATGTTCCCGTTTAAGACACCTGCCAAGCTCCGGGCAAACAACGCCATGTAATAATTTGTGCTGAACCCAAACAAGAGAAGCGAGATGGAAGTGCCGAAAAGACCACAGAGCAAGACAGGCTTCCGGCCCACTCTGTCCAGCATCTTGCCCCACTGCATGGCAAACAAGAATTGGCAGAAGGCAAAGGACGAGGCCAAATAGCCGGAGTATTTCGAAATCTCGTCCTCGGTGGGCGCGATCTGGAAATCTCTTATCATGAAGTAGAGATAAGGAAACAATGACGTGAAGGCAAGAGGCTCCTAGAACCGCATCACGGAAATCACAAGCATTTGCTTGACCGGGAACCCGGCCATTTGCTCGCGAAACGTGAGTTTCGCCATACCCATGATACACTCGAAATTGGACCCGGAGTGTTTCGAGAGGCGAAGCCACTCAGGCGTCGTGCGTGATTTTTAAGTATCTTGTCGTGCACAGTAGCCGGGTTCAGATCGGGGTTGGCCGGACCAAGCGGGGCTTTGAAAGGCGCGTATATACGGAAACGGTCAAGTCCACCGGGGCGACGCATGAACACGAGCCGCACATCTCAAAAACTCTGGGGGCTCTGAGAACAAAGTTGCAAGTGACACCTCGCATAGTGAACTGAGACATCAAGAAACTGAGGAGCAGATCATAGTGCGCTATGTGCTATTCAACGCTTTAGTAGACTGTTTGCGCGTGCGGCGTCATGTCAGTGCACGGCTCCAATAAAGAGGGGCCCAGACTAGAAGGCTCAGACCAAAGCCCGGGTCTGGCCAGCGGCAACAGCCACAGGAGGTGGGGAAGGCCGCTGCGCAACTTCGAGCTACTGAAGCTTGAAGTATATTCAAGTTTTTTTTTTGCGAAAGAAGCAGGCACACCAACCGGTCCAAGACCTTTCCCAAATCAAGGTTTTATGACATCCTTGGCCGCGCGGTGAATGCGCCATTTGACATGAGAGCGAATTACCCGAGCGTGCGCATACCGTGATATTACACCAGTTCTGCACGGTTGTGCGCCTGGAGTACTCACTGAAACAGTGAGCTGGGGAAGCACCTGGAAGTCCAGGCTGAGTTCTTCAAATTTTGAGGAAAAACAGGGGGCCTGACACACTCGGGCAAGCGCCTTGGACATGTCCACTTTATTTTGCAAAAGAATGAAAGCAATCCGCGGTTTGCAAACGACTCTGTGAGGTCCGGATTCTGGACCGGGCTATTTTTAACGCGAAGCGAGAAACCAGGCAGCGCGCGCCCCTTATTTTTTTTTCGATTTCGCGCGAGAGATCGAGTCTGACAAAGGCAAAAGAAAAAGGCTCCAGGAAGAGTTTAAATACCCAAACCATTCCTGACCACCCCTGCCTTTCTTGCGAAAGAGCACTTCAGTATACACAAAAGTTTTCCAAATACCGCGTTCTCAGCGCCAGCGCCAGCGCCTCGTGCATTCTTCTTGCCACCTGTCCTTTCGAAGTACATTCGTTATACCCATTTTGAGACATTGACTGGGTGCACCTTCATTTCTACCTCACTACAAACACCAACAGGCCCCCTGAATCCCCGTCTCTGATACAGCCGAACACAGAACAATGGCAGCCATTTCTTTCTTGATCCTCGCATTCGTTGCCGTTTTTGGCACGATACTCTTCACCACGCAGACCTGCTCCTTTGAAAAAGTGCATGCTCTCATGGACCAGCCGCATGGGAACTCGACCGTGCTTGGCTATCTTGCTCGAAAACCCAAATACTCAGAACCCCAGCAGCAGGTTTTGGTGCGTCGGGCAACTAACCTGCTGCTGGTCGACCCGGGCTTGGCTACTTCCTCCACATCCGAGTCGCTAGTGGTGCCCTCTCAAGAGTTCACATCTATTCCCACAACTGCTGAAACTTCGATATCCAGCCTGGTTTCTTCCCTGTCGTCGTCACTGTCTTCTTCCACTTTGACCCCAGTGACCAGCTCTTCGCTGACTTCTCAGACCTCGACAGAGGGGGTAACCTCGAACCCACTTGCAACAACAAGCACACTGAGTTCCATAGAGCGCTCATCTGTGTCGTCCGATATTGCTCCTTTGACCACAGAATCCTCTTCGTCCAGCAGCACCAGCAGCACCAGTATCACCAGCAGCACCAGTATCACCAGCAGCACCAGTAGTACCAGCAGGACTACCAGCTCGAGCAGCAGCGTGTCAGGCTCAGAAACAACGCAAGTCTTTAGCTCCGTGGTCAGCGGAAGAACAGTGGTGGTGACACAGACATCTATAGTCACGCAGTCCACCTCGGAGCCCTCGTCGTCAACTTCGACAGACTCCACAAGCTCCTCTAGTGGACTCAGTGACACCAACAAGATTGTTGTGGGAGTAGTGGTCGGTGTAGGAGGCGCCATTTTGATGGCGTTCGCTGCGTTGATGTTCATTTTGAAGCGCAGAAAATCCAAGGGCCACCAGAGCGGATGGACTTTCTGGAGAAAAAACGAGAAAGGCGGAGAAGACAATTTCTTTAGCGGTGAGTTGGGAGTGCGTGACCGAGACATCAACCAAGGATCCAACTTTTAGAAGTGCTGTAATGCCCATGCCCCTAAGACCCCTCACAGGTTCATAGAACTCAATACTTGTGGAACATTGGTTCGGCTCCAGTGCCTCAACCTAGGCGTTTGACTGGCGAGATGAACTTCAGCTCCCGTCTCCAAAAATAAAGCCATGGCCCCCTTTGCGCTCAAGCCCTTTATGGTTCTACGGAGTTTGTGAGCCAGCCCCAAGATTGCTGCAGCCTGTTTACTCAAGATACCCACGGAAAGCAGCTTGTGTCATTTCCCACCAATAAGAGCATCTGCCACTTTAATCTGTGTATGATACCCAACAGAGGCTGTAAAATAACACCAGATTCAAACTGAGCAAGCCAGACTTCCGCGCCAGGCTTTCCAGCTTCACCGTTTTCATAGCCAATATGTACGATCCATGACACATGTGCTGATTCTGCAACTCGTGCCACAATGTGGGAATTCCGCTCAAATCAACAGCCATTTTAGACTTTCAAGACTTCGTAATCGTGTTTTGGATCTGCCTATGATCACGGGCTAAATGTGCTTTGACACATCTCAGCTAGACCTCTGGCAGATATACTCAAGGTTGATTTGACTAGACTCGACCTAGATTACGGGTTTTCAAGAATTTGTGGTACACATTTGGGCATCAAACACCTCGGCCAGGGTCCCCAAAATGAAATCAGCTCGTGAAAGCCTCTCTCACATTCTAGTCGGTTATAGCACAAGGACACCAAGTGAAAAAGAAAATCTTGCTGGAAAGATCAAATCAGTATACTGGTATAACCACCCAAACAGACTTTTAAATGCTTTGAGTTCAATGGGAGCTTCGAGATTGGTATGAAGCAGTCCGTACAATGCGCCTTTATACAACCCTCAAAAGTATAGAAGAAGAAGTCCAGATTATCAAAGAAATCTGCATTGTTGAGAAGGACGCTGATTTATGTCACGAATCTTTAGCTCTCCCATTTAATGGCTCCCTGGCTGACAAGGCAGATACGCAGTATCAGTTCCAGCATGCCCGCAGCCGCGGGCCGTACAAGGAGTATGACGTCTGGTAGAATTACGAAAAAGAAGAATCTATAGCGAAAAGTATGCTAGATCATCCAGAAAGTACAGCTGTTGATGTCATTTGTTTCCTGGATCTTTCGGAGCATGTGTGAAGTATAGTGCATGGTAATCGATGTACTAGTAATAGACCAAGTAGACATTGAATATGCATCTCATTAGGTTTCAGTCTACTCAAGCTGGGATAGTCCAGATTTCATTCCACTCTAGCCAGGATGGTCCAAAATTCAAGCGAATCATGGTTTCTATGCATTGTCTGTTCGCTGTTTGACTACATGTGCATATTGTAACGGATGTGACCGCGACGCGAAGAGGAGATACATTTAAACTTTCAAGGCGATCTTGTCATGCCAAAGTAATGTCGGCAAAATTTTGGACCGACATCACGGGCCGCACTCTACCTCTATTTTGGTAAGTATCTGAAGGGGCAAAAAGGGGTGGGGAGCTATTGGAAACCCAGCAGCTTTGAACACCAACTCTGAACACCAAACCGAACACCAACTCTGGACACGAACGCTGCACACCACGTCCAATTACCTCGTCCATTCTTTAGCAAAACCTCTGGCCAGTGATTCCAAAAGCACAATTTCCACCATCAAATTTGGGTCGTGTGGAAAACGACTAAATAGAGAACACCCGAGCTTCACATTGTTAAGATAATTTAGCGGGTTGTGAAGCGAACCAGCGCTACCCCACGCGGAGTCACGTGACTAATCATTTCATTCCAGGCTGGACGTGGCAAATGTAATTAGTCACGAATGGGCAAAAAAAACAGTCCCGATTTCTCATGCATAGACTCGCTTCCTCGATGCAGCAGGATGTCAAGTTTGCGAAAATCTCCATTCAATCTGAGACAGTCATCTCCACCCCACATACAGTTGGCGAGACCAAATAATAGGTCCCGATTTCAGAGCGAGGGTCATCACGCGCCAGTATGGAATCCCGCGCCCTGTGCGTGACGTAGGACAGTGCATGCAGACTCGGTTTTTGGATAAGCGCAGCCAAGTGCCTGCAGGACCTTGCCCTGCGAACACGAAATTGGGATATACCGACATAGCGCGTGCCCCGAGGCGTGGTCAGATTAATGGGGCTCCCTGTTTTACACCATGGGCGTCTGGAAGAACAACGCTCAAATTTGATGTAAATCCGTCGACCCAAAATTAGTCAAACTGTAATTGTTTTCAGAGCCAGGGTCGCGAAGGTTTTTTCAGATATTTGTCCTGCAGGCGCCTCAAGACACCTGGTACACTACCCGGGAAGTGAAACATACGAAGAGAGTATGCTACTCACGTTTATCTTTGACGCATTTGGAGAAAACGCAAATTAGCACATTTTAGCAGCTGGGGCCGGAGGAGCGCTGTGTTAAGTTTTGAGTAAAATCCGTCAACCCCGACTTTTTTAACGCCGCCTTTTGTTTGAGACATTCGTCCTCTACCATCAGCAATCTTGCAGAGCGCCGTCGCTCGTGCGCATTGGCTACTTAGGTTCCAGGGCCTTCTATTCGTATGCCTCTGGAGACCTGATCACATGTGTTCACGCTGAGAAAGAAAAACTAATGCCTATTGAGCTGTGAAGTACTACAGAGCCCGACCTGCAACAAAGTCTGTCTTTTTCTGCCTTCTGCTTCAAGCCGAAGCAAAGGCAAGCCCAAAAAACCCGTTCTCGGTCCCCCGGCACAGACGCCCGGGCCCATGCGCGTGGGGCTAAGTGTGCAGCGTGGTTTGCATCGATCCACCTCCAATGTCCTGTTTTTGCTGTTTTCGTCCTGATAGCTACATACATCTGAGCATCCCGTCTCCAGTGTTCGCAAGGTTCTGGCAAAAACTTCGCGTTGCTACTTTCTGGGCGGCCCGCAAACTCATCCTCATACTTTTGTATCTACTAGTCTCTTCCCCCAACAGAGTAAATTTGCCAGTAAGACGGAAAAAAAACTACACATTCTTTGTCGGACAACGCCACAAGCATCCCCCCAGCATCCCCTGCCATTGCATTGCCTTATTTCTGGCTTCGCTGATTACAAACACGGTCTCTTTGAAAGTTTGCATCTTCCACCCCCAAGGCGGCTTTTCCCGATCCCCCTCCCAATCCTGGCACCACCGGGACTCGAGACCCAACGCAGGCCAAGTCAGCCCAGAAGATTGCTTTGCAACCCGAAAACACCCCAATTTATAGATCCAAATGTCTCCGCCGTCTATGCTCGGAATAAGGGACCTCCTCAATGAGGGCAGCTCGCCCGAACTGGTCTCGCACAGCTCGGACGACGGCTCCAGATTCACATCGCACGTGGGCTCCGAGCCCAAGTTGGAGGTCAATAGCTGCAACCACAGAATCGACAAGCTTTACCGGACCCGCGTGCACCCTGCGTTTCTCAAGCACCACAGGCTTTTGGACATTGCATTGCGCCGCAAACTGGCGCCCAAACGCACGCCCTCGGCCGCCAACTGCGGCCTGAAGCTCCACCGCAAACTGCTTGAGGCAGGCCTCCGCGTGCGCTTGATATCGGCCCCTTCCATATACGAGATCTACTACCAGCTCACGCCGTTGACGTCGCACAGCAAGCAGCTATATCGAATCTTGGCCGACAAGACGCAATACACGCTCCGAGCCGAGGACGTGAGCCTGGACTTGGTGTCCATGCGAAGCGGGCCCGGAGGGCCGCGCCAATCCGGCCTGGTGAAAACAGAAACGGGCTCAGTAAAAACAGAAACGGGCCCAGCAAAAACAGAACCCGGCCCCGGCTCGCCCAACAGCTCCCCGCCAAGTGCACACGCAGGGCCGCCTGCAGAAATGCTCCAGCCGGGCAAGTTGACGGCCCGGACCGTGCGGCTTATAGACAGCAACTTGGTCAACTTGGCTGGCGTGCCCTCCAAGGTCTTGAAATCGCTTACCTACGACAAGTCCACCACGGAGCTGGGCGGGTCGGTAAGCGACCGCCCCGAGGAGTTGGTGCGGACGTTCAACAACTTGGACACGGCCGTTTCGTCCATGTTTGCGGCGCAGAAGTACTCGTTGGTGCGAGTCACGAAATGCGCCGCCTCCAACAGCGAGGCCTCGGCCCTTGTCAAGCTCGAAACCGCGCAGCCAGGAGACCCGTCGTTGATTGACGACGGCGAGTTCATCGAAGACATGGTGGCGTCGTTGGGCCAGCCCGACCTGGTGCCCTCCAACCTCTTCATCAAGAAGGTCATCGCCAGGCCGCGGTACAAGGTGGACATGAAGCTCTATTTCGTGCCCACCGGCACGCCGATGCTGTTGTACGTGGTCTCCCGTGCGTTCGAGCGCGATCTTATAAACGGCATCATCGACATCCAGTCCACTCCGGACAGGCACATCTGCACCACGTTCGACCCGGCGCCCATCTTGGATACAGTGAGGCGCCTAGTATGGCAGAGCACGGGCTACCGGGCGGCGTTTGACGAGCACGTGCCCAACCACATCACCGAGAATCTTCATAAATACTTCATGGACTTGCCAGCCGAGCAGGATAGTGAAGATAGCTCGCAGACATCTTCGACTCCGGCCTCGCGCTCATCGATGTTCTCGTTGTCCAACGACTCCATAGATTCCTCGGGCTTCTCGCTCATCTCCTCCGCCTCCAGCGTTGCGGGAAAGTAGAACACGGGGCCACGTTCACGAAAGTTATGACTTGTTTATTTCATTGTTTGAGTTTTTGTGCTGGGTTGCTTGTGACGTCACTTCCGCGTTGCGGGTTTTCTGACACAGCGCCGTGCCGCTCCCTAGAAAGACGAGAAGGCGCCTTCCCCACATGGAAGCGAGATCGTTGCGTCAGAGTGAGTGGCAGCCCATGATACATGTGTATTTTAGAAATGGGGTTTTCAATTCCATAATATTCATTTATTCTTCGTATTTCGAATCTAGTTTCCCATTCGCGCACCAATCCCCAACCAGCTCCGTTTAGACACTCAAAGAAACCGTCTCCGTGGTGATCATGTCCTTGAAAGGAGCCAAGGCCTCGGCAACGTCCTTGGCGACAAACTTCTCGGTCTGTTGAGGAGCTCTGCCCACAAAGGTGCTTGGGTCTAAGAGAGAGTCTAACTCGGCCCAAATGGGCTTGAAGTACTCGGTGTTTCTCACTCTCTCAATCAAGTCATTGTCGCCACCCTCCTGCTTCACGACGGCAGAAGCCTGGTGGGACAACACTCTGATCTCCTCGTGGCAGTCTTGTCTGGAGCCACCCTTCTCGACCATGGCCATGATAATGTTCTCGGTGGCCATGAATGGCAACTCGGCACTGATTCTTCTCTCAATGACCTTAGGGTACACGACCAAGCCAGAGGTGATGTTGATCATGGTGGACAACAAGATGTCAGCGGTCAAGAAGGCGGATGGAAGCGAGATTCTTCTGATGGCAGAGTCGTCCAAAGTTCTCTCGAACCATTGCACGGAGGCGGTCTGGATGGCATCGTTCAACAAGCCGCCCAAGTGTCTCGACAAAGAACAGACTCTCTCGCATCTCATGGGGTTTCTCTTGTAGGCCATCGCGGAGGAGCCGATCTGTGACTTCTCGAAAGGCTCCTCGACCTCCTTCAAGTTGGCCAACAAACGGACGTCCGTGGCAAACTTGTGGGTGGTGGCTCCCAACGAAGCCAAGGGGCTCAAGACATCAATGTCGATCTTTCTCGAGTAGGTCTGGCCCGTGACAGGGTACACGTGCTCAAAACCAAGCAAGTTGACAACGGTCTGGTCCAACTCCTCGACCTTGTCGTGGTCGCCGTGGAAAAGAGACAAGAACGAGCCTTGCGTGCCGGTGGTGCCCTTGACACCACGCAAGCCCAAGTCGTTTCTGGCTCTCACCATGTTTCTCAAGTCCCACAACAATTCCTGGATCCACAAGGTGGCTCTCTTGCCCACGGTGGTCAACTGGGCCGGCTGGAAGTGGGTCCAGCCCAACACTGGCAAGTCTTTGTACTGCAAGGCAAACTTGGACAATCTGTCAATCACGTTCACCAATTTGGGGATCAACACGTCGTACGCGTCCCTCAAGAAAATCAAGTCGGCGTTGTCTGTGACGAAACACGACGTGGCGCCCAAGTGGATGATGCCGGCAGCAGCAGGGCATGTTTCGCCAAACACGTGCACGTGGGCCATGACGTCATGTCTGACCTTGGCCTCCTCGACCGAGGCAGCAGCGATTTCCTCGTCGGTGATGGTCAAGTGCTTTTCCATCTCAGCAATGGCCTCATCGGTGATGACCGAAAGGCCGACTTTCTTTTCGGCAATGGCCAAGTTCAACCACAACTTTCTCCATGTGGAGAATCTGTTGCGCAACGAGAAAATCAGCGACATTTCCTCGGAGGCGTACCTCGAAGACAAGGGGGTCGAGTAGGAATCGTTGGACATTGTTGGTGGGATTTCAAACACTGGGTGCTGCGTGCCGAGGCTCAGGAACTGCGGGAGATGCGGCACTTTTATACAGCTGGTGAGATATTGGGTGAGAAATTAGCCCAGCTGACTCCGCGGTGCTGTGCGCCTGACTCCGATGCAGCGATGGGAGCGGCTGTGTGCAGGCCCGAGATGTGAGGCTCAGGCCCGGGGGGGAGGGCAGTGGCAGGCCGGGTGATTGTCCGGTTTTTTTTCTTGCTTTGCGATCGAATGCCTCGAAATACTAAAATAGCACTCTGTAACTCAAATACTGCTCTCCCAAGGGGAAGTTTCACGCAGGTCTCGGGTTCCATACGTGGGGTTTCCTGCACTGGACTGGTGGTCAGGTGACCAGGAAATGAACCCCGGGTTCGACATGGTCTGATCTCATGCTTTTCTGGGGTAGCCAAGCATTTTGACAGGTGGTTCTAGAAAAAGAGTATGGCTGCTGGCGGATGTCCATCCCGATTTGTACATCGTACCTGCGTGTGGGCCCCGACCCGGAATACAGCGGTATTCGGGTCTCGGATCAGACTAAGCTGGCCACCACCAGGATTTCTGAGCTTCATTACAGAATTGTGCGGGGGTAAAAAAGCGGGACACCGTCACCGGCGTTTCAAAGCGGCAACCAAAAATTACGTTTCCTTGCGCCTTCAATACATATCGTCTTTACCGAATTGTTCTGTTTTCCAGCCGGCTTTTAGAGCCCTGTCAACGCTCGTCGAAGACCACGGTCGTCCCCTCATCCTCGCTCACGAGCTGGCGCACGTGATTCCCGACATCTTCGTCGGTGTCAGGAAATTGCTCCGCTACGTTACTCTTCTTTCGACCGTCCTCCGTTTGCAAACTTGTCTCCTCATTCTGGATCTGCAACGCGTAGACCGCAGTGCGGAATTGCGTATAAACTAGTCCCATTTTGCGTTCCAAGCCTCGCATGTTTTGTAGGAGGCTGTAGGCCTGCCCCTGGAAGACAGAGGCCAGATGTCTGTCTGAACTTTGATGTATTTTCCTGATCTCCTCTGCGAGTGTCCTTAGTTTGGATGCTAGCGTCTGGTACTGCGTAAGCACCTCGCGCTCTAGAGGTGTCAAGTTGGTGTGTAGCGCAAAATCAGTCAGCAAAATGTCACGCGACATGTCGGGCACTTTGGAGGGAAGGTAGTGGAACTACAGAGACCGGCGTACCTGGCCAGATATGCTTTGGAGTATGTTTTGGGAGCCCGCGGCGGGGTCGTGTATGCAGGAGCCGTGACGGGAAGACTGGGATATCAATTTAGACGACAGTAAAAGCTTGCCGCAGAACTCCAGAGATGCCAAAAATGTGACGAGCATGAGGACCGAGCCGCAGTCTGTATCGGGCTTTCTTTGGGTCATGTTTTGGGCACGTCAAGAGACCCGGCGTCGGGCGCAAAGCATTTCCAGACCATTGAAAAATCCAGTTGCTTTGTTTCCGATAGCAAATACGGAAGTTTTTGGAGAAGCAACTCAAAGCAATTTCGAAGTTGAAGAGCAAAGCTTAGAATATGAGTTGAGAAGGAAACAATTGCTCAGACAAGACGCGCATTTCTTGCATTACTTTAACGATATGGAATTTTACCATTCTGTTTAAAAAAAGTGTTCTTTGTTTGTTTTATTTATTTTTTTTTGGCAAAAAGTCACAGCGGGCCGCCCACCGTAGCCGATTCCTATGATGTGAAATGATTCGATTGGCCTCGTCTACCTGGAGTTGTATTGCTGGAGTTGGGGCTGTCTGTCAAGTCATGCACTGAAGGGCCTCGCAGTGCGTTCCTGAGCCAGATGCACGGGTGCACCAGCCGCTTCCATTCGGCATTTCTCGAAGCCCGTATAGTCCATGCTCTTTTGCCCCAACGCGGTGTAGTATTAGGAACAAGCCCTCTGTTTCTTCACCCCTGGAAAGGCCAGATTAACAATTCCGGCTCGCCAATACACTCTTGAAAACAGCAATGTCGTCCAGTGGTGTGCAAACAGCATCCCATGGCACAGGGCCCGAGCAACTAAACGGCTCGGATCCCAACCATAATAATAAAATAGCCACCAACGAAACCGTGGAGCCCAAGTACAGGAAGCGGACGTTGGTGAAGAAGCACTCGGGTCCCTCCAACCTAAAGTACCTGATATGGCTTGCGGGCCACGTGCTCTCGATCGTGTTTGGTGTTGTGACTTTCACCTGGCAGGTTCTCTGGTTGCCCAATGTCTTCTATATCAACTCAATCAGTTACAGATTGTCGCTCATTGGTTCTGTCATGGCGTTTGCCGCCACGGTGTCCAAGAAGTACGGCTGGCGCTACTTGCCGCCGTTCTCCACGTTGTTCGCCCAGCAGAACTTCCAGTTCCTTGCCATGTCAGTGATCTGGTGCTTCACATTCAAGTCCGTCTTCAAAATCATTCCCACATTCATGATTTCTCTCTTGCAGTTGTCGGCACACAAGAAAATCGACGTGGTGCTCAAGCATTCGGACTTCTTGGCGTTGCTTATTTCCTATGACCAGTTGGCGCTAGTGGTGTACTTGCTCATCCGCACGTTGCTCTTCAGGTCCACGTCCGGCTACCAAATGGTAATAGTGGTGGTTTTCATGTGGTTGAGGGCCTTGTTTGACAAGGGCACAGCCAACTTGCTTGGCTACGCCGTGAACAAGGCGGACGGCAAGATTTCAGGGATCAAAAACGAGAAAGTTCGCAAGGCATGGGGCAAAATCAAGCACTTCCTCGCCGAGAAGCAGCGGCACGGGATCTACTCGGATGGACTAGATGACGAGGACGCGCAATATCTCTGATCTACAAGCGAATCTACTTGCCTATTGAGCCTTTTTTTAGGGCGTCTTTATCTAGGGGCGTCTTTTCCTAAGGACATTTTCTTTCTTGCAACCGAGACAATGGTCTAGCGCAGCCAAAGGGGATGCTCGCAATAAATAGAACGGGCGCTCCAGCGAATTCGTGGGCCAGCATGGACGTGATACCCTGCAATCCACCCAGGCCTGACGGGCCCCGGATTGCGGTGGTGCACGGGTGCGCGCGGCGCCGCGGCCACGCCTCTGTCCAGTTTCGGCTGTTCGCTCGCCCAGCTCCATAGGTGATCCTTAGTATTGTTCGATAAGCCCCACAGTAGAGTGAACTCCTGTGTCGTGACGCTCAAACCAAACATCTACAAACCCACCTCAGCAAGCATGTCGCCACCACTTGTCTACCAATTGGGCCACAAGCCCATCAAGGACCATTGTTTCTCGCCGGATTTCTCTCTCTTGGCTGTGACCAAAGACAACACGGTGGAGTTGTACCAAACGGCGCCAAACTCGCCCAACAAACCACAGCTTGTCGCTACTTTGAAAGGCCACGACAAAACCGTGACCTCGGTAGACATTTCGCCCGACGGCTCGAAAATCTTGACTTGTTCCCAGGATCGGAACGCGTTGGTCTGGGAACAGACCGATTCGACCGGCGAGTACAAGCCCACTTTGGTGCTTTTGAGAATCAACAGGGCCGCCACTGTTTGCAAGTGGTCTCCCAATGGAGACAAGTTTGCCGTGGGCTCCGCCGACCGTGTGATTGCTGTTTGCTACTACGAGGAAGAGAATGACTGGTGGGTTTCCAAGCACTTGAAGAAGCCGTTGAAGTCGACCATCACCAGCTTGTCGTGGCACCCCAACAACGTGCTTTTGGCGTCTGGATCCACGGACGGCCACGTGAGGGTGTTTTCGGCCTACATCAAGGGCGTTGACTCTAAGCCCGAGCCATCAGTGTGGGGGTCGAAATTGCCCTTCCAGACGTTGGTGGGCGACTACACGAACGCCACCGGGTCGTGGATCCATGACGTGGCTTTCAATGGGGATGGTGTTGGCGACTCCTTGGCCTACGTGAGCCACGATGGCACCATCTCCGTGGTATATCCTCAGGGCGAGGGCCTCCCCCCTTCGTCGTTTGTCACGGTGAAAACAAGCTACTTGCCCTTCAAGTCCATGCTCTTCTTAGGCGACTCCATCATTGTGGGAGGCCACAACTGCAACTTGATTGTGTTCCAGGGCGACGAGTCTGGCTGGAAGGAGGTGTTTGTCGTGGAGAAGCAGAAAGACTTGATCCATGACGTATCGCCATCCACGGATGACGACGCCGAGATCTCCAGCCACCAGGCGCTCAACATGTTCAAGGAGATGGATCTCAAGGGAAGAGTCAACAAGCCTCACCTGCAAGGCTCGGGCAGGGCGTTGAGCACGACACATCAGAACACCATCAGCAGCTTGAGATGGTACGACGGGGGCAAAATCTCCACCTCCGGCATTGACGGCAAGATCGTCATCTTCTCGCTCGGTAAATAGATGCAAACGACCAATGTAAACAATAATACTGGAAATCCCGAAGAAGTAGAGCAAAGAGTAGAAGCGAGCAAAGAGTAAAACCGAACAAAGAGTATAAACGAGCAGAGGAAAAGAGAAATAAGAGATGGCGAATATACTGCTGTGAGAGGTGACGTCAGAAAAGTAAGCTTTTGGTAATGGGTTATCTTCAGAATTTTTTGGTTCAGAAGCAGAACTGAATATAAGTTTTTTCATCATAGTAACGTCACAGCAGTATCTTCGCCATTGGCAGCCAGTGATTTCGCCCGAAATCAAAAACTCCCAAAGGCAAATGTACTAGAAAAAAAGAGTCTCATCGGGGCATCTAAGATATTGTTAGTGAATCGTTCGCAAAAAACGATGTATTGGTAACGCCGCATAAAATCAGATGGTGATGCATGTTTGTACTAGGCTCAGGAATCGCCTGACAATATGTTTGTGAAAACAATCATCATATGAGCTACGTTTCCAAATTCTAGGCGGTAGACATACCGTGTAGACCAAGGATCCGTTACAGCGAAAAAGGCTTTTGCTGTCCACTGGATCAGAAACGAAGGGCTTTCAAAATCCTTTTCCTGTGAAACCCGAGCATGCAAAACACGATTGAGAATATTAGGTAGAACTGATGCTTGCAGTGAAAAGAAGAGAGTGATGGACCGGGTGATTTTTTCTTCCTCAAGTAGTGGAACATCGCGCGTCGGTCGGGTAACCCACCATGATAGGCACATGAGGGTATAACGTGCATGCAGCTTGGGGCCCCGCACTGTACATGTGTTCTGGCCGTTGACTACTTGGAACTGGACGATCATTTGGGGAGGAGCTAAATTGGTCTTTCCCAGTCAAAATCGGCAATTGTCAGAGTGTGCGTTTGAAAGGCAAGGTGTAGCTTGAACTCTGAAATCTACCGTGAGTGCTTTCAAAAAGGCAAGGCGCAATATATCCCACTTGATTGGTTATTAGGGTGCCTTGTCAAACTCCAATTATATATGGGAGTCATGATCCTATTTGTTTTTTGGGCACAACGATTGGGAAACTCTGGGAAGTTTCGAGTTAATTACCTGGATTTTGGTAGGTACTCTCTAAGTAAGCACTGTGAACCCAAATCATTATTAAAGGATTGACGAATTCAGATATGACTGGATGTGCTCGCTACCATTCGCGTATACAGCCAACACAAAAATATAGAGTAGCTTTATTGAGAACAAAACAAATACTGTCAGCAACTTTTTTTCTCAAACTTGAGTCATTTTTCATGGAATTCTGAAGAAGGAGCGATCCTCTTTCAGTGATGCAGGTGGGGAGTGACCAGATTTGGTGACCAGTAACCTCACCACATGCAGAACACCGTAACCTCTATGTTCACATCACTGCGTACGTCACTGGTACTGGTCAATCTCAATGGGCTGGCCTTCTCTTGATAGTATCACTTGTACTTATAATTACTACTAATAAAGTATTTGATTGCGGAATTCTTCATTTAGGACTCTCAATCGTCATCTTCCGTGACTCTTGCAGCCACTGTTACACAGATTGTAAGACCATATCTATCACCTGCCTCACTTAAGTCTAGTTTCCATTCCATCAATGGCGCACTCCAGATCTCCCACAAGACTGTCGGTGGACAATCAAAGCCTCAAGGGCTATCAAAGGGCTGACACGTTGCCTCTTGCTTCAAGACAGGAAGGCGTGGGATTTCCCGGGAAACAGCAAGAGTTTATCAGATCACACCGCCAGGCGCTGCCCGCACGTGTCCGCCGTTCGTCTTGTTCTGTTTCTGATTTACACCGAAATTACCACCAAGGCACATCTGCGTCTCAAAACCAACAAACGCCACTTTTGCAACGGCTTCTTGGCTCGCAGTTCAGTGTGCTGAATCCGTACTCCAGCTTTGATGTATCAAACTCTAGTATTAATTTAAATCCAGAGAGTCAGGCTCAAGACTTTGAGCCTTTTCGGGACCTGGACGAACCTTTCACTCGGGCCAGTATATTGAGTATTTTCAGACCCGAGAAATTAATCGGCCACTACGATATTTTGGCAGATTGGAAAGACTTCTTCGTGAGTGACTTGTCCCTTGTAAAGAACAAGAGGGTGCGTAGTTTCTACCATGACCAGAATGAGCTCATTCGGCGCTTTAGCGAGATTGACCACTTCTTAGATTATGGGAAAATGCACTTGAACATGTTGACCACTTACACAAATCCACATGGACACGATGACGAGTTGGGTGTGCTTGAGGAGGAAGGCCGAGAGGGAACGGAAATGCAGAAGAGCAACTCGAAATCACGTATCAATGAGTATCCTGGGAATATTCGCGATGGAGGACAGTTCTTGGGGTTTGACGAGGAGAAGTCGTCGTCACAGGTTGTTTTGGCCATAATGGTGAATTTCGTCATCAACTTCTTCTTGATGCTTGGAAAACTTGTTATTTCCCTTCTTACAAACTCGCTCTCTGTGGTTGCGTCTTTGGTTGACTCAATCCTCGATTTCCTTTCTACTTTTATTATCTATGTTGCGAACAGACTATCGACCTCCAAAAGCTGGCGGACAAAGTTTGCGTATCCTATCGGCAGAACCAAGCTAGAACCTCTTGGAATTTTGATTTTTTCTGTGATAATCATCATATCATTCTTCCAGGTCGGTCTAGAATCCTTCAAAAAGTTGTTCCTCGATAAGTCCACAGATAAGCAACCGGCACAAATTGGCTGGGATGCAATTTCCATCATGCTTGTCACAATTATTGCCAAGATCTGGTGCTGGTGGTGGTGTTCTTTGAGTAAGTCCAGTTCTGTGCAAGCTTTGGCCCAGGATGCTGTCACTGACATCATGTTCAATACTATATCCTTGATAGTACCAGCGGCGGGGCACTTACTAGATGTATGGTGGTTTGACCCGCTTGGGGCTTTATTGCTATCATTGTACATCATGATAATCTGGGGCCAAACTGCTTTCGAGCACATTGACAAATTGACTGGGGCAGTTGCCGATCCTGATGACTATAAGGTTATTTTGTATCTTGCTTATCGATTCGCGGAATGTATTAAGCAAATTACTGCCTTGAAAGCGTACCATGCGGGTGATAAACTTACTGTTGAAATAGATGTTGTTTTCGACACCGAAAACTTCGATGTTGGTTTCAAAGATGCCCATGATATTGCCGAGGCACTTCAGTACGCAATAGAAACGCTACCCATGGTCGAAAGAGCATTCGTTCATATCGATTACATGGAGGGAAATTTCAAAGGACACTTGACCTGAAAGGAAACAACTTGGCATCGCTGCATTTCATGGAACAGGAGATAGACGTTCCACGCAATCACGGATTCCATTCTTGTATTGAGTAATGATATCATTTGGGTTATCTTGAGCCACTTTTTCGAACTTCTGGGTCAACAACTTGACAATTTTGAGGATAGACTTCATTGTATGACTACCCAGATGCTCTGTTGGTAATGATTTTAGAAGCGAGAGCTTGCTTTCATCGCTTAGGATTTTCAAAGTTGTGACCAAGGATATCGCACCATAGAAAAAGAAAAAGTGTATCTGATCAGATAGATATGCAAAATATGAATCATTATCCACTTTAGTTACGAAATGCGTCAAAGTGAAGGATCGGAGAAGAATTTTGGATAGATCTGCATCAGCAGCATGCTTTAGTAGTCTCATTAAGTTTTGCGATTCACAGAATTCTTTGCCATTGTATCTTGTGAGAATTTCATCCCCAGAGTTCGCTTGTCCTTTATAGTAAACGTAGTTGTATACGATCTGCAAGTCACAAAAGTTAAAACAAAACTCACCGAACTGTAGGACAGGCTGTTCAAAAAGGTATCCCCACTGCTCGTGCCAAGCTTGGAAGTCGGCTTCCACTGCTTCCAAGCTAGTCTCAAGCTGACTCGTGCCTTTGCTCAAATCCAAGTTTGAGTTTATTTGGATGAAGTTGTAGGTAATGAGTAAAACTCCAATCTCGCTCACCATTCTTCCATCAAAGTTTGTAGCACTGGGCAAGCTCAATGCCGAGGTACATTGATTGAGCCTTATTTCATCAACTAGACACATTCGTCCACTGAGAACACAGCTTACTAAATGAACAAGGATCAAATGATTGTAGATTCGAAGAAGAGTCAAAATCTGGCTATACTCGGTGGTGAGCTCATCATACATGGCAACGTATTGTGGAGACAGTTTTGTAGATCCATCAGACGTTTCAAATAATTTGCCAAATGTTGATTTCGATATGAAAGTCGAGAGTGCTAGACCTGATAAGTACCAAGGATCTAGATTCAAATGACGCAATTCCAAATCTTCATCCAAAAGTGATTCGGGGTCTACCGTATTAGATACAATGGAAGACAAAGATAGAGAGTAAATCGAAAGAATCACCATGGACTGGAAAAACTCGACATCCTCTCCAATTTCCTTGGAACTTTGGTAAGCGGCGTATTTTAGTAGTGACTTGTTCAAATCTTGCACCAAGTGCTTGATCACTGCTCTGTATGCGTCTTTTTTTCTGCGATGGGAATCAATATCACCGGGACTTGGTTCACCGTTTAGCAGATATCTCAAAGATAACGAGCAGCATGTGCTGAGAAGTAAAGAGGACTTTCGTCTTATTTGATTGACGAGTATTTTTGTGGAGATCAGTATCGGGAACAGTACCCATCGTCCATAGTTGCTTCTGAAATCATCCATCAAAGCAATAACTTCATTTTCTGGAAGAATTCCGCAGGTGATTATGTCATACTGAGTTTTTCGGGAAGGACTGAAACTCTGAGCTCTGAGAGATGATAGGTTTAGAAGATTTGCTATTGACAGAGGTATGTGTCCAATTGAGTTCGAAACCACGCTGAGAGGAGATATCCTGAAAGATTGAGAGGACGAAAGAAAGTCCGCGGAGTCGGACTGAACATTCTGAAGTGGTTCATTGCTATCACCACGCTCTTGTTCTAGGGAAGCTTGATCCATGGTTGGGTACAGTGACACGTTGGGGAATCCAAAGCGAGCAATTCCACTGGGAATTAAATTTATTGGATTTGCAGGGAGCGAGTCTACCAATTCGAGGGGGGTGGAAATCTCTGAAGTTTTCTTCATTGAGTTTGCCGCATCTAACAAGAGCTTCACGTCGTTGTTCACCAAAGGCAACGCGCCGGTGCTTTTCAGCAGGGCTGTCATGATGGCCAAAATATCCGACACCCCTCTGTAGATGCGGTCGAGTTTTTGGTTTGTCTGAAAATCCGAGTTGCGACCCAGCGAAATCTGCTCGGGCTTGGGAATGAAATGAGGTGGGAACGATGCATTCTCTACCGGTGCATCGAGCAAGTGCTCGGGAATGCCATCGATGATGGTGACCGACGGATTATATAGCTTATATTCCAACTCCAACAGACACTCAAGCTTTGAGCTGGTGCAACGAACACATCGGACGGCAACACTGGAGGATTTGAAGCATTTTGTTTTGCCCTTGCGACAAGCTTCACAGGCTTTAAGTGCTCGTTGGTGATTCACCAGGCTAGACCGTCTCTTGGATGAAGCGTTCTGCCCGTCGTCCTCAAATGTCCGTTTACCGCTTTCTTGGCCATTTTCAGAGTCTGATTGGAGCATTTCAACGGGACTTGAACCGAGTCTCTGAACGCAGGAGGAGGTCTTTTTGAAGTTTTCTTCAGATCTGGGAATTCCGCAGGAAGTTCCGGGCAGGGCCTTGCTTGATAAGAGTCGCGCCTGGTGCAGGAGAAACGCGGGGCAGGAAGCAGCGATGGTTGGCTCTACGTGAATAATTGCCAATGCCAGGATTAGGGAATTCTCTGGACGGGCCAATGGCGGGAAAAGCCGGCAAGCCACTGAATCGGCCATCGGAAACTTTTTCATGCTTTGGTCTTTCGGGATATGTTTACATGTTCTGCTAGAGTACTCCATGGAGTGTATTCCAGCTTCCCGGACTTACCGAGAGACCACCAGAGCAGGAATCCCAGAGTCAAGATGGAAACACACCCGACCTTGCCTGCGATACCCCATCACGCGGAACTTACCAGTGTCATGGTGGAGCGCCGCATTTCTTTTGTTCAGACCCTAAACTGTATTTTCTTATTTAATTTTGTAAAGAATACTGGGCTTGCCGTCTTCAATGACGTCCAATGTCATTGCTACGATCTTGACCCCACCACTGAGTCCAATGTGGGTGTTGTCGATGACACCAGTGAACGCAACAACTCCAGTGCGCAGCTCACTGAGGTCACTTACATTCAAGGTGCCTTTGAACACGAAATTGTAGAGCTGGTCCCGCAGCAGCAGAGCCTCTAACGGCCTGGAGCTGGCGTCTTCCGCAGTATTCGCCCGGTGAACACGGCCGCTGCCCTTGTCGTGCGTGTTTCTTTGTGCCTCTGCAGTAGAAAGAGTGCCGAGCTCGGACGTCAAGCCCGAGACAAATTCATCTATATTGGAGGCCCACTTGACCAGCTTGATATGCCAGTCGCAACTGACCGAGACGGCATTGTCCGTTTTCCCTATTCTGAAACGAGGCCCATGCAAGGTGCAATGTCGTGGCTCGATCCAGAGCTCGAAAGTATCGGTGGGCGTAGATCTCACGCTTATGGGAAGCTTGAAGGTCTCTCGGACAACGGTCAGGCGAAAAAGACAGTCCAAGACTTGGTGCTCCACGTCGTCTCGCTGGACTATCTCTGCAAGCCCGTGCCTGTCGGCGTGAGCAGCAGGATGAGCGGGGTCGAAATAGCGGAGATACTGGGGCAAAGCGAAGCGCCGTTGCCACGGCCAGTTCACCCCCATCCACAAGGGAATGAAGACCTGCCTGGAGACTACATCTGCCTTTTCCAGTGCGTGCACTAGGTAGATCTGGCCCGCTAGATATAGGCCCACGCACGCACCGAGGGATGACGCCAATATCAACAGGTTCCGGAACCAGCTGGTCCTGTTTGCTTGGATCATTCTGCCTCCGGCAGTCAACATGCTCGGATTGGCTCGTATTTCCTGGATGACCCGCTGGCGAAGACGGTCATTGTATGGGGCCTTGCACGGCCGTGTACTGAAGGATCTTGCCGGATTGGAGATGGCTTTGCGGGCAAGTCTGGGGCTCAATAGCCGTGCTAATCCGGAGTGAATCCGCAGAGAGGGGGACGACGACATTTGATTGGGTCCACCAGAAAACCAGGGACGGGAGCTGACGTTCACAGGAGCCAAGGTGTTTTTCGAGGCGCTGTGGAAAGTGGGTGGAGGCGAGAGGTGCTAGTGGTGGAGGTGAGAGGTGATAGCGTTGAGGGTGAGAGGTGATGGTGGTGGAAGCCGGGCTAATTTGGGACTGAATAGGGCTCACTGGCTGCGCGCAGAACAATAGGGAAAGTCTACAGGGCACTCTACGTACGCCAAAAAACTAGAGAAGGGGCAAAGGCGGAGGCATAAGATGGCGGCGGGCGAGAGTTTGGCCACGGCAATTGTTTTGGGTAAAAAAAAAAAAAACGGCCCGGCAAAATAAGCCCATGCGGGCTCAGGGCTTTACTGGTTCGGTAGCCAATATCTCTAATACGAGATCTGGCGCACACGTCTGCAAGAGCGAGCCCCGTTCCGAATTGGTCCAAGAAGGACAGACGGCTCCTCATGCTGGTAGCATTACAATTCACGTGAAACGTGACTCTGGCCGAGGCTGAATCACGTGGGGCGTCGTGGACGCCCGCTGGCTCTACGGGCCAAGTCCCCAGCTGGCAGTCCGAAGGCGATGCTGCGGGTGACGTCTGGCCGTGTTCTTGCGTCTTTTGTCTTTCGTGTATTGTCATCAGAAGTGTCGTGTGAGAGGAGGGAAGCGTGGGTCGAGGCCACCAGTCGTCTAGTCCGACTCGTCCTCTAGGTCGGCCCAGCTCGTGGTCTTGTCACCCATCTTCTCAAAGATGCTCTGGACCTCAGCCTTCAACTGGGCGTCCTTGAGCTCTCGTTCCTTGGCCAACCTGGCCTGTCTCTCGTGTTCCTCCAACGCTCGTTTTTGCTTGGGTGTAAGGTACCTGGAACCCGCGGGCGCCGGAGCGGGCTGGTCACGCCTCGACGCACCCGGGCCCGGCGCGCTGGGCGCCGGGCGCTTGTCTCGGCCTGGCTGCGGAGTCTGGCCGCTTGCCTTGCGCTCCTTCTCGGGGACTCCCAAACGCAGAGCAAACGAGAGCGCCGCCGCAGACATTTTCCCCCCGGGCCCCTCGTCGTCGCTCTCTCCGCCAGAACCGCGGGCGGGGGCCTTTGGGTGCCTTCCGTGGGACGCGCCCCGGCCCGCGTGGTCTTTCCTGGGCTTCCCGTCGCGAGCACCGCTCCGCTCATCACTGACTTGCAAGCTCCCGAGTCTGCTGGCCAATGAGCGCCCCGAGTCCGACAGGGACTTTCTGCGCTCCTGCCGCACCTCCTTGGAGTGCCCGTTTGCGCGCGATCCCCGGCTCTCGCCACTGTTCTCCGAGGACGAACGGTCGGGTTTCCCCTCCGATCTGCGTCGGCCGCCGCGATGGCCCCGTTCTCTGGAGGCTCCCTTGGCGCCGTTCCCAGCAGAAGAGGGGGGCGTCGGGAGCTGTGTGTTATTGTTGGGCGGGGCTCTGTGGACGGGTTCGGGGTCGGGGGCATCTGCCCATTTGGAAGGTAATTTCTGCGCTGCGGGCTTGGCGATCAGTCTGCCGTCGCCCAAGGTTTTTGTCTTTGCGTCCTGCTTTGGCGCCGTCGGCGCGGGTCCGCCGTGATCGGCCCATTTAGAATCAAGGCGAGTCATTCCAGGGGGGATCGGGCGATTTTTCGAGTCGGGTGCCGGAGTTAGATCCGATGATGGGTTTTTCTCACCGAGACTGCGAAGGCTCTGCGCGTCCTCACTGTGAGAACTAGACGCTTAGCCCTAATTAATCATGTGACAAATGAGACATTAAAGTTCGCACCACTTACCCGGAACCAAATAGCACGACGAGTATATGAAGGGAAGAGAATTCCCTCTAGAGATCTTTTTAGAAGGTCAGTTGACACAAAAGTGGTTTTAGTTTTTCCTAAATAAAGGTTTATTTCCACACGCTAGTACATCATGTCGAATCCGATATCTCAACTGTACCAGTTGGGAACCACTTGTGGACAGGACATTGAGTTGGAATATCCTGTACTCAAGCAGAAATACAAACAGGTTATGGGTCCTGAGCCGACCGCTGAGCACAAACGGATGCTTACATCGACTTTCGGAAAACTTCAAGATGAGAGTCTTACTAGTGTGTGGAAAATATTCTTTGAAAGAAGGATATTTGATTTTGACCAAAATGTTTTTATTTTCTACAAAGAAGGACCGCAAGGTTTACAAAAGA